GATATCTTTAGAATTTATAAAACGATAAAAAAAATCCCAGGACATCACTATGGAAATATCGAGCCAGCGTAAGGTTAAAGTCGTTCACTATAGTGTACTATATAGCGGATAGTCTAGAACATTTATCGAATAGGTGATGGAGACATCCACGAGACTGGTACCTTCATTCTTATAGACTTTATTTATTTCGTCAATTTTTTTTTCCGTGATCATCAAAATTTTTTATTATCCTATACGGTGATTGTTATTATTAATGTTATTGGTGCTGTTATTACCTTTACGTTGGCAAGCTTAAATCTGTACTCTTCATAACTACATATCATATTTACTCTCATGATTCATATTTCATTTCGATGTTTCTAAGTCCGTGACGGTACGACCTAGCCTCCACAAGACTTTATGTAATATTTTACCTTACATATTTAATTTTGAATTGCAAAAATAATCAATAATTATTATTCAAACTACTAAACAGATTAATTTTTATTTAATTACTAATTGTTTATAGTTTAAACACTTAAGAATATTTTTAAACAATGATATATTATTTGTCGACAAAGTGCGGTAAAAATATCATTAGTTTACCGTACTAAAAAATAATAATAATAATAACAACAGGAGATGATTAGTAGGCGTGTGTTATTTAATATATCCTAAATTGACAGGATCATCACTGAATAATAATCTCAACATCGATCAGTGTTACTTATTAGCCTGATTAGTGTACAATTATTGTTAACATGACATTACATGCTATGTTAGGCGATGTTCAAATGTCTGCAGAGGCGTTGTTTTATTATTCTTCATACTTTATTTTGTATATTTATATTGCTTACCACTTTTGCTAAAATCATTTTTTTAATGTTCTAAAGACTTTTTATTGGGAAATGTTATTTGAGACACTTTTGTTGAAAAATATTTTTAGAATCGACGTCAAAAAAATGTTGTCTACAAATTCTATCGTTATATTTCAAAATAATTATGAATTTCTAAAAAGAAAAATTTTATTTAATTTTAACTATTTATTAATTTTCCGACCGTGATAATTATAATTATTTTTAAACCCGTTCCTGCCATTACGGTCATTTTTTTGCTAGTATAATTCTAATTCAAGTGGATGGTAATATTCCATCATCACTAACAATTTGGGACAAATCGTCCCTTGGAGAGTTAGTCGATGGGGTAATCATCGAACTTGAACACTAGTTAGCTGGTGAATGTTAGTATCTGTTCGATTCTATTTTTAGTAGATTTTATAAAAATCTAACTATTGCAGCTGTCCTCATGGCGCAACTTTCAAAAAATTTTGTCATTTTCTGACTTAGTTTGTCGAGCTGAGTCAGAAAATATATATAGTTCAAAAGTTTATATATGTATGTATTTGTATATATATACGATATAACGCGGCTTGTCAGCACGATAACGTTTTCAATTTATAACCGATTCTTCTCAAACTCAACATGCTTCATTTATCGATCAAGACCAAGGTTAAGTTCGAAGATGAGCTTAATCGGGCGAGTAATTTGGAAATGACAGGATTTTGAAATTTTGAAAATCGTAAAAATTGATGTTTTTACTACTTTAACTTGGTATAATTATTGAACTAGACAAGATATTGAAATTCAGTAAAATGCATCGTAAAGCTCTTTTAATAAGCTTCAATTTTCACTACTCAGAAGTGGTAATAGCCTCAATATTACTCCTTTTAGAGTTCGTCAAATGAAACAGTTTTACTGTTGCAGCCGTTTTAGAATTACTGTCTGTATCATAGCTTAATCATGATGTAAATTCAATAATTAGGATAATGATCAGTCTTCCGTGTAATCTTTTCGGGTAATGCGTCAGTTAATATGTCACAAATTAGTTCTATATATTGTTTTCTTCAATTAAAATTTTATCCGGTTTCAAAATTCTGATTGATTTGGAAACTGTTATTCCTAAGCAGTTACTTAAAATTTGGTCATTTATAATTCAAATCTTATAATCTTTGCAATTCTTTGGTAAATATTTGAGAAACTTTTTCTTCACAAGTTAATTTTTTTTTTTTCAAAATCTGTTCTAAATCGTTTTAAATTCAGTATTGAATTTTGTTTTTAATTCATGAATTAAGGTATACATTATTAGTGTTATTATATTATTTTATTAAAAATCATTTTTCTTCATTTGAAAAATCTACTTCCATTTCGGCTGCCGAATGGCCTTTTTTTAAGTATCAACTAGTGTTCAAGTTCGATGGTTACCCCATCGACTAACTCTCCAAGGGACGATTTGTCCCAAATTGTTAGTGATGATGGAATATTACCATCCACTTGAATTAGAATTATACTAGCAAAAAAAAATGACCGTAATGGCAGGAACGGGTTTAAAAATAATTTTATTTAATCTCAATTATTAAATTTAAATAATTCATTTCAATAAATTTTTAAGCCAAGAAATTCTTTTTTGGAAAATAATTTTTGTTTCTCCCAGTAAAGGATGAAATTCATGAAACAACATTTTTTTTTACATGAATACTCATTTATTTTTATTTATTTATTTATTAAAAATATTTTGATGCCAAGGCATTGGCCGAATGGCAAATATATAATATTTAATAATACAATGGTGGTTTATTTAAAGTACACGTAAGAGGTTTAATATTAACTTATTTAATAATTGTATTTTTAACAAGTAGAATAAAGAAAAAGTTACAAGTGAATTAATAATAATAATAATAATAATAATAATAATAATAATAATAATAATAACAACAGTCATTAACTCTAATTTAATACAAAAATAGATTCAAAATTAGAATATGAATATTTCAAAAAGTAATTCAAAATATAAATCAGAATATTGACAATATAAATTATATAATTCATATACTTAGATCATAAAAATCAAATAATCAAATAAGTATAAATCAAATAAATTAAATAAATCAGCTCATTTTACAATCCTCAAATGGTAACAATATTAATATCAGTTTTCATATAACAAGTAAAATTAATGGTTTAAGTTCAGAGTGTATATTTGAAGTTAGTAGTTAGCCATCTCTTTCCTGATTCAGGAAGAAATTATAAGCACTATAGTTTTAAAAGTATCATAGCTTAGCGATTTTATTATCTCAATAGGTAGTTCTTTCCAAAGTCTGATTGCGGATATAACAAAAGATTGTTCAAATATTGAGGTTGAGAAATTTGGAAATTTGAACGTAATGTTGTTGTTTATAGCTGCTATTCTCTCTGACCTTCTAATAATTTTTATTTTCAACAGTATTAATAATTAATAATTTCATAATTTTCAACGCCTTTTGTATCATAAAGTTATTTTCCCGCGCTTGTACCATAACTTCTTTAAAAATAATCTTTAAACTAAAAAATAGTGTCAATTACTAAGGATTTCCTAGTATGATTGGTAACATCGAGCGACAGCGGTTTTTTTTTTTTTGTAATACAAGTCATAGAAATACTAATTTATCGCAGTTTGTTCAAGTGTTAGTATACATCTACAAACATGAAATGGAACTTAAATTTTTTTTTTAATACAATCAACCACGCGTATAATATTGTTACTTGATGTTACATAGATATATAAATATAAATACTTCAACCAGTACAGTCGTTTCCGATCGCACGACAGGCACACCCATCCTGTTCTATTCTCAATTTTCTTTCACGTCCTACGATCAATTGATTACCCTCGTTATATTTGCATTCGCGATTATGTTCCCTGTAACATCAATATCACCAGGCATTTTCTCTTATCAACTATTTTTTTTGTTCGATAAAAATTTTAACTCTGAATCTGGTAACTATGTAATTATTTTTCAGAAAGATTAATAAAAAAATAATTGTATTTTAATGAACTGTTGTACTGACACGTGTGGATGTACTGTATAGAAAAGCAGAATAATTGGATGGATTCTCGGGAGTGTGAAACAAAAAGGGTGGGTGTGTAATATTAGTAAAGTCACTAAATTAACAGCAAGCATAAGCACATTACAATTGTTCACGTGCCTACGGTTAAGTAACGCGTGCCGTCTGACCATCCTAACGTGCATAATAGTAATATAACTGGCATTCACAAGACCTGTCAGTTGTAGACACTCCAAAAAAAGAAGGAATGGATAATAATGTAAATAAAAATATAAAATAGGCGAATGAGATGTAACTGAACGGAATGTCTAAATACGATATTTATATATACATAATACGAGCGTACAGGGCACGTTTCAGTTAGCAGTGTAACGATACAAGCTTCCGTACAATCTATTTAATATAACAAGTATTTAAGAGAATAGACGAACGGTCCTCGATACCGTAATTGTGAGTTCAAGCTTACGCGGGGGTGGTCATCAATCCGTGAATCCTCTACGTATGGTGCCACGCAACCGATTTACATAATTCTGAGATCTCGAATGGCTTCGTTGAAACATTTAATTTTTACTCACTTAAACCTTTTTTTTTTAATTTATTCCGTTCTGACAATTTTGCTTTATTACACTTTAGCTTCATTATAATTAAGTCATATTATAATTTATACTGAATCAATTTACGTTAAACGGTACAATATATATATATATATATATATATATATATATATAAATATACCGTACGAGTGGAGCTAAGGTTTACTTCAGATACATCATGCAAAAGATTTTTCATAATTACGGACTCTAATAGACTCATAAAATACCGACGTACAATTATATTAATATCATAGTGAATAGTGGATGTTATTAAAATTTTTAAAAATAGGTTCAATCGCTGGCAATTAATTGTTAATGAAATGAGCTTGATTTTATGTTCAATCATTTCCTTTTTATACTACTCTCATAAAACATTTACCATTGGCGGTAGCGTTTGAAACTAGGATTTAATCCCAGTCACATTAAAAAAAAAAAAAAAGTACTTTACACTACACTCGTCAGTAATTAAATCATATTATTATTAAAAATATACTTTATTTGTAAACAATTTTCATGCAATCATTATATGCAAATAAAAATCAATAAAATGTTATTACATTCTAGCAACACGCTGACAAAAAAGTTAATTCAAAAGAAAAAAAAAATAATTTTAAAGAATTTTAATGTCTTGAATAATTTACTGTTGTAATATTAATTTACGAACGTTCATGCGCTACGCTAGAGTCAAATGAGTATTAACTTTTTATGAAATTTTTGGAAGTTTTGAGATTTTTCTCAATTTTAAGTATATCAATAATCTTATCATGATTTATAGTTTTTTTTTTTTTATTTACCTGAAATATTTTTTAGGCATATATTTTAAAAAGTAGTAAATAATTTGATTAAATACAAATCTGTCATTTCTACTATGAATTTTCAACTTTTGAGGGAAAAACTATATAATTAAACTCATCAAAACTAAGAAATAAAAATTGATATCTACTATGATATCTTACTTTAAGAATTTTTCTTTAGGATTGTTAATTTTTTCTTGTAGTGCATAGATGTTTTTTTTTTTTTTTTTTACTTACAAAAAAAGTAAACGCTATAAAATGAATCTTCATCTTGACGATCCAATTTTCTTTTTAACCGCCTAATTTCAGCAACGATATCCAAATTTTGATTATTCATGTTTAATATAAATAATAAAAGTTATGAAAAATACGTGGCTTTCTTTGAGCACAAAGAAAAGGAATGAAGATCGTATATACTGAACGCAGTATCAGACAAGTAAGCAACAAGATATTGTTTTTTTTTTTGTTGCTTACTTTAAATATTGTGGCATTCTGAGCTGAAGTCAGGGTACTATGATTAATGATCTTGAGGAGGAGGCGTGGAATACAATTGAACAAATTTTCAAAACTAAACCAGTCCAAATATGTTTCAAACAAACAGAAAAAAAAATCTGGAAAGCGGTTGACCCTAAAGGCCATACCCGCAACTTCCCGCCAATTCCATACCTAAACGGGTGCCCGTCGTAAACAACTCGGTCCAGAACAACTCCGGTCAAAACAACTCGCCCTAAATAACTCCGGTCAAAACAACTACTGTTCAAAACGACTCCGTTCCAAAATAACTCCGGACGGAACAACTCCCGACAAAAACAACTCCGGACAAAATTACTCCTGACATAATAACTCTATTCCAAAATAATGTTAAAAGGGCGCAACACAATTACAAGATTCTGTGTCGGTATAATATCGAATAAACATACACAACAACCTTGTTAAAAGAGTGCAACATAATTACAAGCTTCTGTGTTGGTATAATGTCGAATTAGCACACACAACAACCTTGTTAAAAGGGCGCAACACAATTACAAGATTCTGTGTCGGTATAATATCGAATAAACATACACAACAACCTTGTTAAAAGAGTGCAACATAATTACAAGCTTCTGTGTTGGTATAATGTCGAATAAACACACACAGCAACCTTGTTAAATTACGCTTCACGTAATAATTATCCGTAACTTCTATTCTTTCCCGCTTCACAGCATTATTTATATTTGTTAAAAATGTGGAACGCTTCACGATTTTGCGTGTCATCCTTGCGCAGGGGCCATGCTAATCTTCTCGGTATCGTTCCAATCATGTCAACCACTTTAAAAAAAGTAGTTTCGAGAAAATCGCGTTTAAAGTTTTAGAAACGATTTCAGTAAAATAACTCATAATAATATTTAATATTCACTTTGGATTAATCGCGAATCCCAGATCCGTAAATTGAGCCTTCTTCTACTTCCTACTCGATGTTTTGCGAAGTTCTTTCTGCTAATCGAGCTGTTCTGCCTTCTATTGAAGAAGCAGAAGCAGAAGCAGCTGCGTCACAAAATCCACGGTATCTCCGAAAATAATTCGGATTTTTGAAAATCCACTCAAGGACATATTTTTAAGGGTCTAAACTTTGCAGATATGCGAAAAAAAATAATTCGAATTTTTCAAATTTCTAGACCAGAATACCCCCTTAAATAGCTTAAAATGTATACCATGATATATGAAGGAAATTCATTGATGAACTCAACTGATACAATATAAAGATATGTAGTCGATCATTATATCAATGTTAAAAAATTTTTCAACCATGCAAAAGTGGGGCTTCACCTATTTTTGAGTGTAAAAAATCGATAAATTGTTCTTAATTTATTTCTAACGTTAAAACTTTCGGTTTTTTTTTTTTTTTTTTTTTTTTACTAATTATTACAATTGAAATTAATCTAAAAATTTATTTCAGAGTGTTGAAGCCACCAGGCGGCGGAAGCAGTGACATATTCGGTAGCGGAGCAGACGAAACAAGCCCAAGGCGTGTTAAGAATCACAATGCATCCCAGCTTGGATCAGCATTATACGGCGACAGTGGTGCGAGTACAGGCAGCAGCAGTCCCGAGACACCACGTGCCAACAAGCCCGGTAATGATTCTCACAAACGTCTGTTTGGTCCTCCCGAACCCGTTCCCAAAAATACAAAAAATCACATGCGCAGCAACATCTCCCTCAGCGGAAATGACATTATTGACAATATAAACTCTTCGAACTGTCGCACAATTAAGAACAATGAGTCTAATGGGACTCACATCAACGGCACCGCTTTTGTCAACGGCAACGCTAATACTAACGATATCACAGGTAAACATTTTTAACAACCCAACCAATTCTAACACTGCTATCTTAAAATATGTGTTTTTTATCAGGCCCTAATTCCAAATTTTATTTTTTATTTTTTTTTTAAATTATTATTTCAACATTCCTTCTTTTATTTATTTACTTGATTAAAAAAATTTATAAATTATATCATAAATCATAATTGAATTACTTTTTTTTTTAATAATTTAATATTTACTCAATTAATTTGATAAGCGCGTTTATTCAGCAGATAAATATATACGTGAATGATGTATTACTTAATATGATAAAAAAAAAAAAATAAATAAAATTTACGTGGTTGATGTTTACAAGCAGCTTTTAGGAGAATTAAACGATTTCGTAAGTTTAAAATGAGACAATAAAAAATTAGATGACATTACACTATAATCAGAAACACTATTTATACTTATCCCTCATACTTATTGCGTTCATCGTATTATTAGTTCATTTATTAGATACCTCTGCCATTAAATATTAAACGTAGATAAGAAAAAAAAAAACTTAGTTAAACAGTTACTTTACTTAGAGAACGCTTTTTACCCTAGTTATATTATATTTTTATTTATTATGATTTTTATAATTTGAAATAAAAGTAACATTTCAGGGCCTGTTACCTTATCAGACACATATTTTGAGTTAGTCATCTATCATTATTTATGTATAGTTTTTATTGAGATGCTTACTCACACTGCTTTTACTTTGCAACAAATAATTGCACGATGTATTATTTTGTTTGCTCACACTCACCTCTCACTTTCTATCATGAAATTTTTTCAATCGATTATTATTTTATGTTTTTATAACCATAAATCATTTTGATGCTTTCACAAAAATTACGCGTCTTAAATTTTTCACTTGAATAACATTCTCCATCAAGCTATGATCATAATCATCCATTTACCATCATAAAACTTTAACATACAATAACATTTATACATGTATTATGTACTAATACGTAGATCATTCATTTATGTCTAACAAATGAACAAATGCGTCTTTAGATTGAAAGTTCATTTTGATAAGATTTAATATTTAGAAATATCCCTTTTATTAAAGATTAATTTAGAATTATTTAGAGATAACCGGAACAAAAAATGCTTATTGTAAAAAAATATTTAACAAATTTTCTAAAATTTTTTTTTTTTTTTTATTAGAATTACATAAAAACTTTTTAAATAATTATAAAATATAAATTAATAAATACTTACATATGTTAATTTTCAATTTATAATATTGTGAAATTTTTTTAATTAATATCCTAAAATATGATACTGAAATCAGCTGTCGTTTGACAATTTTTTAACTTTTTTCATTAATTAAATTATAATTAAAAAATATCTTTAAAAAATTACACTTGTAGGTTTTTTAAATTCCTAGTTTCTTAAATTTTCAAAATGTGAAATTTTTACTTTAATTTTTTTGTACTAATTTTATCAATAAGAAAAATCCTAAAAAATGTCAGATATCTTAAAAATTTTAATTATTCATAATTTGAAATAAAAAATATAAATAAAAAAAATTTTTTGTAAACAATTCACTCTAAAGACGCATAAAAAGAATAATACAAAACACTAATACAAAAACGGATTATCGAATCACGTGTTCGCGATAAATTTTGTCTTGGTGCATGGGGTGAATATGTACGTGCTTTGATGCCGGGGTGTGTGTTACTATCCTTTTGGTCCCGACTGGTAATGGCCCCGCAGGAGGATCGTCCTTTATTCCGCGGAATCCCGTCACTGGAGATGGAATTGACATAACGCCAGTGCGGCGCAGCACACGAAGGTGTCGAGGTAACGTTAAACGTTTTAAAAATTTCCAAAAAAAAAAAAAAATCCTCAATGTTTATTTAAACACGTAATTATTATCCATTTTTTTATTTACTTACTTATTTCTTTAATTTTTCACTTAAGTAAAATGTTGAATTGTTGCAAGAAATTATTATAGTATTTATTGATGTTGTTGTTGTGTCTATACCGTCTATGTACAATAGCGGCTATAGCTCTTTACATTGATAACTGACCTTTGATAAATTCCATAGTACAATGTCGCTAAATTACCGATTTCTTGAATTAATTAATAATAAGATTTTATTGTATTAACTACTGGGTCAGCGACCTTGACTTAAAGACAGTAGTAATCTAGAAACTTTTAATTTTGTTTATTAAAAAGTATTGCAACCTTCAACCTTTCCAAGTGTATATCATTTGTAATCATATAAATTATGTGACTTTAAATAATTATTGTCAACTTAATTTTTTGTTTAAAAAAGCATGATTGTTTATTTACATATTTTTTTAATTGTTTGCAATTATAAATTCTGTGTTTTACTTTTTTACCAGGTTTAGGGGGTATTCTGATCTAGAAATTTGAAAAAATTGATTTTTTTTCTCATATTTTCAAAGCTTAATCCTTTAAGAATATGTTTTTAGGAGGATTTTAGAAAGTTTAAATTATTTTCGGATAAATGGCTGTTTTGCTGACGCGGCATCCAAACCGGCCTCATCACCAAATTTCAATATTTACTATTTTTAAAAAAATTCGGAAAACTCTAAAAAAGTATTACAAAAATTAATTTTTTTTTCAGGCACTTGCCATTTTGTGAAAAAAAAAAAAATTTTTTTTTTTTTTTAAATGAATAGTAAAAATATTGATTGCCTTTTTTTACGACACTTCAAAAATTACCTAAAATTCAAGCTTCTAGTCCAGAATGCCCCCTTAAAATGAGGTGGATTTCCGGTCCAGCAGATATTTATATTTTTAATATATAATTTATTTTTACTTTATGATTTTAATTAAACTTGGATATACTTTAGCTTTAGTTTAACAATTTTAATTTTAATTTTAATTCAAAATTGATGACGAATAATACCCTCATAAATTTTATTTACTGAAATTTGAAACTAAGTCTAAAGCTAAATTATTTACAAGCGCACTTTATTGAGACTAGTAACACTCGTTTGAATTAAAAATAAAATATATAAATTATTTTAAGTGTCTTTCAATGAAGTATTATTATATTTTTAAAGGCTTCCAAGATACTTAGCGACCTGAAGAGTCTTCCTTGAATAAAATTAACTGCCTTGACCTTCTTATCGCGACAAGTATTTATTGTATTTAATTTTTTGTTCCTCTAGATCGCAACCCGGTGACAGGCGCTGGATACACACCTGACTCCCAGAACAACGTGGCATCGCACAATGGCAGCAGCAATGCCAGCATTAATGGTGACTCAAAATCAACCACTGACTCATCTCCATCAAGCACAAAACAGCAGCCGGGTCGTGGTCGCGTTCCACCTGGTGGATTTTCATCTGGGCTTTGGTAAAAAGGGATTACCTTTTTATTGAGTATTTTTCATCTCCCATGAGATAACGACAAAAAAATACTTAAGAAAAAAAAATAACTAAAATTAATCAATTTGTCAATATTAACTAAAGATTAATTTTCAAATGCTTTAGCCGTTGTCATTCCTATTTATTTTGTATCGCACTTCGGCTTATTAATTTTTTTTTATTTCAATTAAATTATATCTAGACTTTCTCTTTAAAAAACACTTACTGTTTTGAAAAATGATTTGTACGTCTACTATAATAATGGTAAATTAATTGGTGTTGAATAAAAGAAATAATTATTAAAATAAAATGAATGAATTTTGTATTGTAATAGAATAATTTCGAAATTAAATGTAATTGAATAATTGAAATAATCTCGGGCGTATTTAATGATTGTACATTTAATTTTACTATTATTAATTAATGACCCTATGTTTTTATCATAATTATTTAAATAAATAAATATATAAATCAAATGCACCATATGAAAGTTATTAAATAAGTGCTTTCTTACTTCTGTGCCTTCTTACTATCGTATATTAAATATTTCTTTTTGGCTTCTTAAAAGTCAGTAAATATGAAATAAAAATAATAATTATTAAAAAAGTGGATAATAACTAGGTACTTGAATAGATTCAATTGTACATGAAACGCCCGAGTGCTCTTAGTGATTTTTTTCCTTTTTTTAACTATTCTACTCTGAACATCTCGTGTAATAATTCATAATTTTATTTTTCATACCTCTATTATTATTATTTTAAAAAAATTTTTTGCGCATTCCTTATTTATCGGTGTGCATCATCCAAGGCGGAAGTGCGTTTGGCTCGTAGCACAAATATTTCAAACTCGTTCAACACACGAGATTCGCTTATAATTCTTCTCATAACGGCACTTATTTATTTTAGATGCGATAATATCAGCTCTCAATAATATGTATCAACATTTATAGGCAATAATAATAATAATAATAATAATAATAATAATAATCATCATCATTTTTTACGAACAAGAAAAATTATAAAATTAATTAACGAAAACGTTTCATTATGAAATAGTTGAAATCACTTTCATTAAATCGCAATATACTCATTTACACGTATGTTATCATATAGTTTTTTTTTTTGTCACAAAGAATGATTTTTCAATCAAGAATACAAGTGACTCGACTTCATATTTGATATAAGTTAAGTTATATAAAATGTAATAATAATAATAATCATCCATCATTACTTTTTGTACTCTGGCAATTAATAAACATTTTGTAAGCAAAATTATGATTATCCTTTTTATCTGTTTCCTTCATATTTTACTTATTTCAAGGTAATAACTGTAATTACAGTAGAGTAAATGGTGATTATAATTTACAATACGGGTTTGTGCTCAGGAGCTCGAGTAAGTGAATAAACTTTAAATGGTACCGTTTTTAAACTCTGCCGTTAATTTATTTTATAAAAAAGGAAATTATTTTTTAGAAATACACAAAAAATATTTGTCCAACTTATCTTCTGGAAAAATTTTACATACTATTATCGTGTTAAAAAATAAAATCAATCAGATAAATTCAAAAATATGTATCAAAATTATCTTCTCTTGGTTAGACAGTGAAATGATAATTTGATCTTAATACATTGATGGTGGTATTTAAACTAAAGATACATTTGTAAAAAGAAGAATTTCACAAATTTTATTTTGTTTATTTGTACAAAAATGATAAATACTATTGACAATATATAAAAATAATGAAAAATTTTCTTCATTTCAACAGCAACCATGAATTTTTTTTTATCAGCAAAACATTTATTAATAATTATTTCAATAACAGACATCAATATATAGTATAAATAATTAATAATTTAGATCTTTATAAAACTATAGTTGATTACATAATTATGTCAAAAATGAGATTCAATTGGAATACTACGGTGGTTATAGGTGGTGTAACAGTATTTTAATTTTAACAATCTACCGCAATAGAAGTACACTATAAAACCAATTATGGTTTTTACTTAATTAGAAAATGAATCAAGTGTAGCAAGTATTTCTTTGATGTTGTGGCGGTTAACGCTACATAATGATATAAATAAATTTCTTCGATTTCCAGCGTCTTCTACGTCTTTAGCAAGCTCATTAGCTCGTCTTGTAATGTGAGATTTGATTCCAGCGATTCTTGCTGCATTAAATCCATACGATTTTGGGCATGGACCTTTAGTAAGCTTGTACAAAAAAGTTACGGTTTCTTGAGTTGCGTCAGTCTCTTCACTCTCAACTTGACATGCCATATGAGCAGGTGAGACAGCGGGGTTATCTTTAAATTCGCTTACCAGCATATGATAGTGGGTAGAGAATAAAGTTCGACATTCAAGTTTTGAGAGAGCTTTGAGGATAGCCGCAGCTATTGCTGTACCATCGTGTGTTGATGTTCCTCGTCCGAGCTCATCAACGAGGACTAGAGAATTTTTCGTAGCATGTAGTACAAATGTAGCAGCTTCGCTCAATTCGACTAAAAATGTGCTTCTGCCAGTTCTCATGTCATCATTGGCACCGAGTCGAGTGAAAACACGATCTATCAACGAAAGTTTACAACTTTGTGCTGGTATATGGCAGCCTATATGTGCCATAATGCTCAGCAAACCGACTTGACGCATTATTGTTGACTTTCCACCCATATTTGGTCCAGTTAAAATCACCAGGGGTCCGTAGCCATTGATCGCAAGTGATGTATTGTTGGGTACAAAATTTTCAGATGTGATGAAAGGATGAATTCCTTCTTGAATATCTAGCATAACTTCATCCGTATCGTTGATTTCTGGAGCACACTTGTCACCAATCCTGGAATATTCAGCAAGAGAAATAAGAACGTCAAGAACAGCAACTTTATAGACAGCTGTAGCCCACATATCGTAATTCTCGCTGAACTTAGCAAAAGTTCGTCTATCAGAATCTTTACGTACTTTATCATGGTGTTCTTCAGCAGCTGTTTGTCGTTTTTGAAGTTTTATAGTTTGTTCAGTCGAGTAGCGTTTAAATCCTTTACGTTTATGTTCCAGTTCGTAATCAGGAGTAACTTTACTCGCGCAACTTTCTGGAACTTCGAGTTGATAAGGATTATCACCCCCGCCTATGTATTCAATTTCGGTTCCAAAATATTCACTTTGGGATTTCAAATATTCATCTGCATCGTTTTTTACTTGCTCTAACTCGACAATCACTTGATCATATTCCAAGTCCATTCCTTTTTTAGGAATTATACATCCTTGTTTTAATGCTAATTCTGAATCGAATCTCGCATCAAAATGGTTTAGGGCTTCAGTCATATCAGGAAATTCTCCTTTCGGTTCAACTTGTGTTGTTTGTACTATTAAATCGCTTACTAAAGAGTCGAAAAGTTTTATAATTTCAACTACTTGTTTGAAACCGTTTATACAAGTCACCAAGTCGGTAATTTTTCTTTTATTATATGTCATCCATTCACACATGATGGCACGAGAATCGGGATGATTTTTGACTTTGGAAGCATTACCATGACCGTGAATTGTAGTTAGTAATCTCTCGAGATCTGGAAGGCTACTCAACTGCTTTTTAGCATCAAGACATATGCGTTTTAGATCACGCAACTCTGAGACAGCATCTATACGAGCTGTAATAATATCTCTATTACAAGCTGGCCTACAAACCCATTCTTTTAATAACCGCTTACCAAAGTCAGTACAGCAATAATCTAAAGTCGTTAAGAGTGAAGGACTCTTACCAAGAATATTTAAATTTTCAATAGTCGCAGCATCGATAACCATATTAACGAGTGGACCAACACGCTTCCCATCAACAACATTCATATCGGGTGGAATATATGTTTGAAATTTTTTAAGCGCAAGTAATTGTTCATCCAACACACATTCAGTTAGTACAGAAACACATCCTCCAAGAGCATTAATAGCCAGTTTTTTGTCATTAACTGGATTAACAGTCTTATTATTATCATGATAATTTATAAAAGGTTTCAATCCTTCTGGCCAAGAAAATTCATCTGACTCGTATTTAAAGTAGTGACCGTCTTTAAGCTTATCAAGAATCACCTTGACAGACCAAAATTGATCTTTCAATAAAGCCTCTTTTAATGTTGTCACAGGCAAATGCGTATTGAGAATTTTCATTGTTACTGGAGAAAGATTTCCTTTTCCATAGACAACGTGGGCAGGTGTGTAATGAGACAATAATGTAAGGAGACGTGAATTGTGACAATCATCTTTGAATTGACCTAAATGAAAAATACCGATACTTGTGTCAATAAAACAAATACCATAAGTAGGTAATTTATTGGAATGATCTTCGACCAGCGATAACAAATAATTAGAATGCGATGAAAAATTTTCTATATCTAGGACCGTAGAGACGCGTGTACCTCGAGTACTAATTTGACAGACTTCACGTCTCACAAGTTTATCAAATTTAGATGCTTTTGATTTTGATTTGTCACAACGCTTTGCCATCATTTGTGGAGTTTCAGTTTGTTCAACACGAGCCACTTTGTAGCCTTTTTCAACAAAAGTTTTAAAAAGCCGACTGTAGTTTACTTCAAAACATCCTGTATATGCAAAGTCGCGCTGTATAAAATTTAAGCCAAGAGCATTTACTCCAGAGACTGCATCCATATGATATAACCCATAAAATTTACCAATTTTATGAAACAACACACAGTCAAAGTGTTGACTTTTGAGTGTCCACCACTGACGCATCGATGGGGTTTGCTTATCAAGAAATTCCTGAGGCACATAGAGTGTTTTCGGATTATATTCTGGATGATCAGGTCGTCTTTTTTCCGCATCTAGAATATTTTCCGGCTGAAGAAATGGATACTTTAAATGAGGCCAACTTTCAGCACCTGACACAGGTCCTGATTGTAGTTTAGCCTTTGCCAATTGGAATGACTTGCCAGACTCATCCTAAAGAAAATATTGTCTTAAGAACTATTCAATCAAAACTGAACTGTTAAGCAAAAGAATTTTTCTTACATCATCCTCGACTTTTTTTTTATTTGGATACCACTTTTTACCTCTTCCAGGATTCCTCGGTTTCTGTAACAACAAAAGCAAAACAGTTAGATTTAAATTAATAAATCTGTTAAAAAAATAATTACATTTACCTGTTCTCTTTTAGGTGGTGGCTCATCGTCAGATACAGTATCTGCCGTATTATTCAACGATGTATCTACTTCAGAGCTAGCAGCAGCTGATGATATTGATGCGTCTGAGTCTGAAGCATCACCTTCAATGAAAATAAAAAATAAAATTGAGCTCAAGTACATTACATCTAAGTGTAAACTGTATCCATGAAACGGAACGTATTTTCCAAGTCACTGACAAAAAAAAAACTCACTTGGCTTGTATTCATCCGAATCATCTCCACTATCATCAGAAGGAACAACAATCTTCCTCCTCTTCCTTTTTACGGGAGTTTTTTCCTCTTCTTCCTCATCATCATCATCATCTGAGTACAGTTCTTCTACCTTGGGTTTTTTAACTTCTCGCTTCCTTTTAGGAGTAGCAGTGGTTTCTTTATTTTCTTTTCCATTGATAATTGCTAAAATATAAAATAAAAACAATTATTCAATACTATTTTATTGGTATTCAATCATTTTATTTGAAACATTTAATGGTTTTATTTTAACAAAACTTATTTCATTGGCATTTCTTTACACAAAAAAAAGTTTCAGATGATACTAATGCTATCATACTGAAATTGAGAGACATACGATAATTTAAAAAATTTTCTAACAAATAAATTATAGCAAGAAAAATTTGTTTAAAAAATGTTATCTTTAGAAGCTCTAAAAAATTGTAAATGAAATTTTTTTAAAACAATTTTCTGAACTTAGTTTATTTTTTAAGAAAAATCGAAAAAATTATCAAGTGTCATATATTGCTCAGGTATTTATGAAATTAAATATGATCTCACCCAGAGTACATTAAATTAGTTAATTACGTATTAATAAATAAATAAATGATAATAAAATTTAAATGCTGACCTTTTTTAGGCTGAGTTTGAGGTTTAGCTTTCGCTTTAGATTTAGCTGGTTGTCGTTTAGGTGTTGCTGGTTTAGATGATTGTAGCTTTGGACGCGTTGTGGTTTTAGTAACTTTTTTTTCATCTTTTTTCGGTACTTTTTTAGGTGATTCTAGATCTTCAGTACGAGTTCTTGAACGTAAATTTCGTTTACTCATAGTTAATAATTTATATAATTACTTTGTCGTAATGCGATTATTTAATTTAAATAATTTTTTACAGTACAGCGTATACTACAGGTGTCACAATCTAAAACGCAAAAGCCAATGTTTCACTATTGGATTTTCGATGAAGTGGCGGGATTCTCCATAACCTCGAAAAATGTAAACACAACAACAAAGGAAAATTTATTTTGTTTATTCCTTCAGCTCGTTTTCAAGTGCAATTTCGTTACTTCAAAGTAATTATTGGGAAAAAATTTTTGAATACGAAATTATCCAATTTACATAACTTTTTGATCAAACAAGTGAAATAAAGTTGATAATAAAAATCTAAATAAAATATTTACTTGTATGGAATATTAATCATATATAATTATGTAATACCGAATAACAAACAGCTGATCGGCATTTTAATCCTAATCCTAATATAAAATTGAGATGAAATGTATGTGGCATCAAACTATTCGCAACGTGATTGGTCGAATATATCATAAGCATGAAAATATATGCAAAGTCTATAGTCAGACGCGCGCTTGCGCGCGAAAATTTGAATTCTAGTTATAGATTAAAAACGTTATATTCATAGACTATAAGTGTGTATGAAAATAAAATCAATAAATTGCGAGTACGGGTTAAATTGAAGTATTTCAATATTAATAAAATATATAAATATTTATTAATTAATACAATATTTATGAAAGTATAAAAATAAAAAATTGAAATCGATTTAGCTTTGGTAACTATTTTGTTAGCTTTCCTGACAAAGATTGGGCGATGAAAAAGAAAACTTCAAAATATAATACAACAATTTTTGTAAACTTAAAAACAAAACATATACAGGTATTAAGAATATTGACCATGCTACGTTAGTAATGAGAGCATAAAAATAACAAGAAAAATTAATTAAAACTGCCCAATAAGGTTTTTTACATCATTTCGATTAACGCTACATAATGATATAAATAAATTTCTTCGATTTCCAGCATCTTCTAGTTTTTTAGCAAGCTCATTAGCTCGTTTTGTGATATGAGATTTGATTCCAGCGATTCTTGCTGCATTAAATCCATACGATTTTGGACATGGACCTTTAGTAAGCTTGTACAAAAAAGTTACGGTTTCTTGAGTTGCGTCAGTCTCTTCACTCTCAACTTGACATGCCATATGAGCAGGTGAGACAGCGGGATTATCTTTAAATTCGCTTACCAGCATATGATAGTGGGTAGAGAATAAAGTTCGACATTCAAGTTTTGAGAGAGCTTTGAGGATAGCCGCAGCTATTGCTGTACCATCGTGTGTTGATGTTCCTCGTCCGAGCTCATCAACGAGGACTAGAGAATTTTTCGTAGCATGTAGTACAAATGTAGCAGCTTCGCTCAATTCGACTAAAAATGTACTCCTGCCAGTTCTCATGTCATCATTGGCACCAAGTCGAGTGAAAACACGATCTATCAACGAAAGTTTACAACTTTGTGCTGGTATATGGCAGCCTATATGTGCCATAATGCTCAGTAAACCGGCTTGACGCATTATTGTTGACTTTCCACCCATGTTTGGTCCAGTTAAAATCACCAGGGGTCCGTAGTCATTGATCGCAAGTGATGTATTGTTGGGTACAAAATTTTCAGATGTGATGAAAGGATGAATTCCTTCTTGAATATCTAGCATAACTTCATCCGTATCGTTGATTTCTGGAGCACACTTGTCACCAATCCTGGAATATTCAGCAAGAGAAATAAGAACGTCAAGAACAGCAACTTTATAGACAGCTGTAGCCCACATATCGTAATCCTCGCTGAACTTGGCAAAAATTCGTCTATCAGAATCCTTAAGCAACATATCATGTCGTGCCTCAGCAGCTGTTTTTCGTTCTTGAAGTTTTTTAGTTTCCTCATTCCAGTACCGTTTGAATCCTTTACGTGTTTTTTTAAAATCGTAACCATCGATAACGTTACTTACTATTTTCTCTGAGATTTCTATTTCATAAGTACTTTCACTCGTACTGATATATTTACATTCAGTTTCATATTTTTGACTTTGAGATTTCAAATATTCATCTGCATCGTTTTTTACTTGCTCTAACTCGACAATCACTTGATCATATTCCAAGTCCATTCCTTTTTTAGGCATTATACATCCATGTTTTAATGCTAAAGTTTCATCAAATCCAGACTCAAAATGACTGAGAGTTTCAGTAAAATCAGGAAATTCTCCTCTCGGTTTGACCTGGGTAGTTTGTATTATTAGATCACTTTTTAATGATCCAAAGATTTTCATAATTCCAACTGCTTGTTTAAAACCTTTTAGACAAGTAATCAAGTCGGTAATTCTTCTTTTATTGTAAATCATCCAATCACTCGATATTGCACGAGCATCCGGATGATTTTTAACTTTTGCAGAATTTCCATAAGCATGAATTTTTGTTATTAATCTTTCGAGATCTTGAAGGCCACTTAACTGTCTTCTAGCCTTTATACATATGCTCTTTAAATCACGAAGTTCTCCAACAGCATCTTGACGGGCTCTAATTGTTCTGCTGTTACAAGCTGGCTGACAAACCCATTCTTTCAATAACCGCTTACCAAAATCAGTGCAGCAAAAATCTAAAGTCGTTAAAAGTGAAGGACTGCTACCTAAAATTTTTAAATTTTTAATAGTAGTAGCATCAATGACCATATTGATGAGTGGACCAGCACGCTTTCCATCAACAACATTCATGTCAGGTGGAATATATGTTTGAAATTTTTTTAGTGCCAGTAACTGTTGATCCAATAAATACTCAGTCAATATATAAAGACATCCTCCAAGAGCATGCATTGCCAATTTTTTATCATCTACTAGTTTAACATTATTAGCATCGTGAAAGTTTATAAAAGGTTTTAATCCTTCAGGCCAAGAAAATTTATCTGACTCGTATTTGAAGTAGTCACCGTCTTTAAGCCTATCAATAACTTTTTTAACTGACCAGAATTGAGATTCCATCAGTAAAGCTTCTTTTATTGTTGTTATCGGTAAATGCGTGTTGAGTATTTTCATTGTTGTTTGAGAAAGATTTCCTTTTCCATAGATAATATGGGCAGGAGTGTAATGAGACAACAACGTGAGAAGACGTGAGTTTTGATGGTCGTCATCGAACTGACCCAGATGAAAAACTCCAATACTTGTATCGATAAAACAAATTCCATAGCTAGGGAATTGAGATAAATTTTGTTCTTCGACTAGCGTCATTAAGTAATTAGAATGTGATGAAAAATTTTCTATATCCAAAACCGTTGGAACGCGTGTACCTCTAGTAACGACCTGGCAGAGCTCACGTCTCATAATTTTATCAAATTTGGTTGCTCTTGACTTTAATTTTTCACATCGTTCTTCCATCATCGCTTGGTTTTCGGTTTGCTCAATTCGGGCTACTTTGTAGCCTTTATCAATAAGTATTCTAAGATAACGAGCATAATGTTTTTCAAAAAACCACACATATGGAAAACTAACTCTTCGTACAAGTGATAAACCAAGTTCGTTAACCCCGGTTAAAGCGTCCATATGATGCAGTACATAATAATTACCAATTCTAAAAAACAACACACAGTCCCAATGTTGACTCTTGTGTAACCACCACTGTCGCATCGCCGGTGTTTGCTTATCAAGAAACTTTTTAGGTACATGGAGTGTCTTGGGATCATACTGTGGATGGGTTGGTCTTCTTTCGTTAGCATCGCGGAGTTCATGAGGATGCATGAATGAATAATTGAGATGAGGCCAGCTCTTTTGTCTTGATACTAGTCCTGACGACAGATTAACTTTTTCCAATTGAACTGACTTCACGGATTCATCCTACAAAAATCGGTGAATGTTAATTACAAATTTATCAGGTTATTATCAACTGTATTTAATAGAAAATTTTTTCTCACACTTTTTTTCTCTTCTCGTTTTGAATCCGAACGTGATTTTTTCTGTTTTTTAGTTGTATTTATTGGCTTATAAGAAAACAAAAATTATAATAAAAAGAAATTGTTCGCTAATTAATAAAACATATAAGCCTACATTTATATTTACCCGATTGTTTTTTAAAGTTGGCTTGTTATCAAAGTCAGAATCTAATGAACTGTCAAGTTCAGAAACAACATCTAATGATCCTGAATCATCTGAATCGGCTGCTTCATTATCTACAATAATAATAATAAAAACCAAAAATCATTATTTGTGGCTGCATAAATATCATTTCAATTTCAAAACATAATTCATTGGAACAAAACTTAATTTAATTTAATCTGTCATTAATTTTATTTTTATAAACAAAATTCTTACTTGGCTTGTATTCATCTGAGTCATCTCCACTATCATCAGAGGGAATGATAATTTTTCTTTTCCTTTTTACTGTAAGAACTTTATCGTTTAAATTATCTTTCCTTTGGGGTTTTTCTTTAACTTGTCTCGTCCTCTTTGATGTAACAACATTTTCTTTCTCCTCTTTTTTGTTTACTGTTGCTAAAACATATGAAATAGTTCAGTAATTTCTTCACTATTATTTTAAATAAATATTTAAAAAAAAAAACTTGTGTCACGATTTATCTCATATCCAACTAATTAATGTATTTTTAAGTAACTAAAAGTTTTACCTTTTTTGGCTGTTGATGGTTTAAGCTTCGCTGATTTAATAGCTGATAATTTCGAATCCGACACATCTTTAGTTGTTGACTTTTTTATTTTTTTTTGGACTTTAGGTGACGTTGGATCATCAATAGAGGTATTTGATCGTAAGCAGCGTTTACTCATGATTAATAAATTATACGTTATCGTTTGTGTTATTGAACAATAGTTTTGATTTCAAAATGAATTTGTTTACATCGAGACAAATTTTGTTTAACGGGAATCTACGTAACCCCGAAAAATGTAAACAACACCGGTAACCAATAATAACATAAAATTAGCGTAGGTTTTGAAAGTGGGAAAAAATCCGAAAATTCCCGATGTGACGTTCGCTTTCGGACGATTTATTAAAAAGCTATGCCCGATGAAAATATCTGATTTAAATATCTTAAAATAAATCAATAATTATAAAAAAATATTTTCAAAAATTCGACCTTATAATTTTTGTTAATTTCTATATGTGGAATTTCTTTATTAAATTTGTTTCACTATAATTTAATTGTTAAATTCACAAAAAAATCATTTGAATCACTAATAAATTTTATATTTTTACTAGCTGGAAGCTAAATAAACATGCTATATTAAAAGATCACTGGAAAAATTAATTAAAGTAAAGTTAGCAGACATCTAATAATTTTTAGAATTATTTTTATTGAAAAATTTATCACAAAAAATTAAAAAAAAATTTAACATGTAGAAAATTTGAAAAACAATCTGTGAAATTAAAAAAATTTTTTTTAAGTTCTAATTTCACTATCATGAGTGCTTAATAAAATATTTAAATTATTAGAACAGAAAAACATTTTGACCTCCATATACGAATATTAGGAAATTTTGTAGGATATTCGAAATAAAAAAAATCAAATGTGTATATATAATATATGTATATATACATACATTGACTAACATATGTATATATTAATATATTTATTTATGATTCATTATACAATAATCAGACAAATAACAGTGTAGCGCAACCATAGAATAATTGTCCGTGTTAAAACATTTTTGTACGTGACGATGCCGCTCTGAGAATAATTTTTGAATAATCTATTACAGAACTTTATAAAATTATAATGCAAATAGCAATTCGGCCTGATAAAAAGTCCAGAAAAAAATATATAATAAAAATGCGTATTCACGGACAACTATTCAGACAGACGTGTACGTTTATAATATTTATTATACGCTATTTAACCGCTACAATCATAGTTAGCTCATATATTCACCCATATAACTACATTTTTACCTCAAATTATGTAATATATATGTTATTAAATTTTACATTATTTTTTCTTTTATAATATATATTCTTACATTTTTTTTTGTTGCATATTTTGTTGGATCGATCAAACATCTTTCAAAGCGTTCGAGCAATGGTAACTTGTATATACAACTATAATATTAAATACATATATGTATACTCATATATACATCTATATGTATTTAATATTATATGTATGTATATATAATATTGCAATTATCATTATTAATTTAAGAGAGTTACGATAGTAATGGAAAAAGTTTTACTTAATGTATACATCATGTGTTGACGATTTGTTATATTATTTTATATATATTTATATTGGTGAAATAACTATCAATTTTAAGAACATTGTATAAGAAGTAAATGAAAACATTTATTCATATCTATCAATAATTTTTGGCACAAACAAAATTAAATAGTATTATTTTTATATGATAAACATTTACTGATTATAAAATTTCTAGATCTATCAATAATAAAGTTTAAAAACAAAAAAAATTTCTATTAATTAATAAAACTATAGTCATACAATGTTCTCAATGACTAGCTTGCGAATCAAAGTGGCTAGTTTATTTATATTTATAAAAAACGGATAACATTAAATGTGATGTAATTTTTCATTCAAAATCGCTCACTAAATTATATAAGTTATTTATCTTTTTTGTTTCTTTCATTTCATAGGTATTATTACTTTAAACGTAATTTGGTTTGCGTTTATTATTTTCGTTACTATTTCACAGTATCGATAATTATAATTATTTCTCTTTTATTATTAATTAAATATCTACATTTTGTATATGATTATGACGCATTAAAGTTAAACAAAAATACACGTTTCAGGACATAGTTCAATCATTATAATAGTTAATAAATTTTTATACTTAAAACATCAAAAGCATTAAATTTTTTTTTATTAGTTACTCTATATCAATAATTATTATTATTATATTTAAAAGTTATTTCATCCACTCCACAACAAACACAAAAAATGCCATGTATATCTAGTAAAATACAGTAACAATAAGAATAATAGTTGTAATAATAATAATAATAATAATAATAATAATAATAATAATGTTATCAATGATTTATAAATATTTGCTTAGAAAGAAAAGGTACATGTTATATTTCATTAGCGCGAAAAAAATTTTTTTTCTTTATTTACTTGTTTTCTTTCTTTCTTATTTTTTTATTTTAATAGAGATACTTTAAATAAAAGTGTTTAAGGCAATTTAGCACCCCGGACCCTCCCCCAGAGAGTATTATATTTCGCTGGTGCTACAAGCCGTCAGGTGAACCTGACTAAGTGGGCTATTGCCCACCCGAGCTATCATAATTTAAAATTTTTATACATTCAAAACACCGTATTGACAAGTATTTAAAAGATGACAAAACTTTTTTTTTCATTAAAAATAAAAGAAAAAGTCACCAATAATCAATTACTCTCATAAGTTATAATATTTTATAAATAAAATTCTGTTTAGATAAATTATTGATTAAACTTAAACAATATTTTTAAATTCCACCGGCAATGATTCCTTTTTTTTTTTTTTTTTTATTTTTTGTCATTTTTAAATATAAAAAGCACAAATAGATATTTTTAAAGAGCAAAAAATTTGATATAGTTTTAAATCTACACAAACTACTGAATAAACATCTACCATTAATAAATTTTTACTTAAAATGTTACTTGGTGTTCCCTTATAAAAGAACAGTTAAATATCATTTTCTCAAGTTTTTTTATCTGGTATAATAACATATTTAACAATAAATAATAAGCAAAAATACGTAATAACTATTGGCAAGAACAATTTTTTCAATACAAGTTGAATGTTTTACATTTAAATTACATTAAGTATGTATCAGATATTGGCAATTATTTAGAGTATATGTTATTATAGCTCGACAATTATAATTACCATAGTTATTATGTATCGAACTAAATTACAGCATTAATATATTTCCGTTTTTATTTGTATACTCGAAATAATTATCTTTAATATTAAATGTCAATCACTGTATCCTATTAATTTGCAATTAAATTATTGACATCGATACATTAAATCACAAAAAATTAATAAACATAAACGAAAAAATTTTAATTAATAATTTCGTCAATAAACTTTTTTTTGCTGCTTAACAATATAAGTAGTAGATTTCGAATGTCGAGCAATAGGATCATCATTTTTAATTATCTTACAAATAAATAAGCTATAATAAAAAAAAATATTTATAAAACAAAATTTAATCTTTGGCAAGCGAATTGTGTTAATTTAATGATTCTGGAAAAATGCACACAATTACTGTATTAAAAAAAAAAAGTAATAATTATTATTATAATACTTAGTACGTTAATTAACGAGATCTTTTATAACATATAATCTCAAAAATTATTAACCAAAAAAATCCGCTCAGCGGTCTAATTTGCTTAAACAAAAAATGTAATATTATTACTTTAGTAAACATTGCACTTCGTCATATAAAACTTTTGGACAACTAATTTTACTTTACTGTCTAGACATATACTTTTTATTCTTGTACATAGGCTTTAAAAGCAATCAAACATAAATAAATTTGTACGAATTTTATTTAACTATCTCAATAATTATTGATTATCGCGAAATTCCAGATAAATTATATATTTGAAATAGATACTAATAAAATACAATTATTGTTTAATTATTAAAAAAACTAATAAAAAAAATAAAATAAATACATAAAAAAAATTAAGATATCATTGACATTAAAGACTACTCATTGGATTGCTTGCTTGCGGACATTCTTATTAAGTATTGAGACAATCTACACAATTAATGAGATTAATTTCTTTAATCTCCGTTAAATTAATGTACTTTACAGTCCGAACAATAAAAATATGTTTTCTATTATACCACTCTCTAGATATAAGCAAGTTATAGACATATTGACAATCATTATCATAATACTTTATCTGACAATATATTCCTTCACATAATGCATGTTTTACTCTTTTATTATATTATATAAAGGAACATTAAAAAAATCTCGTCAAATAGCAATTTTCAATGAAGACTTCAATTCACTAGAACATTCATTGTTATTATAAATATTACACATTTTTATTAATATTAATGTGTATATTTCAAAAGCTCAGCTTTCGACGGCTGTTTTTATTATTATTTATCTCTTTTTATATTACACAAACATTCTAAAATTTTCCTAGTGAAATCCAGAAAATAATCAACCGTTTGAAAAGAGTAAAAACCTTAATGATATTTTAATTAAATAATCTCACAGTAACGGTTAAAAAACATTTATATATAGAGAATCTTTATCATATACAACGATTACACACAAATTAATTCAAAAGGGTCCATTATATTTTTACTATTCACACGCTTTCCACAAAAAAATATTACAAAAAATAAAGTACTGTTATAAATATTGACTCTTGACTGTATAAAAAATAATAATAAATAAACTATTTGTGACGTGTATTGGAATTAAATTGAATTTATATGGCTGATGAAAGATTATAAATCAATAAAAAAAAAAAGTAAATAAATAATAGCGTACTGTACGTATGTAGACTTGTGCGAGTTGTTATAAGTTTATTTATTTTGTTTTCATCGAATCGATGTGTATAGGACGGCAATAATTTAATATAAATATTTTTCCAGGACTACTGACAACTGACACTAAAATTAATAACATTTTTGTTGATTAATTTTAAATATATTATTAAATACTACTTAATACCACTTCAATTATATAACTCGAATAATTATTTAATTTATCATAGATAAAACAAAAATTTTGATTTGACTAAATATACGAGGACGTAAACTTTTTATAAATAAACATTTCTTCTGACATATGCCCGTATTGCATTCCGATAGTACATATATAAGCCTCAATTTAAAAGGAACATCCTATCTAAATTCCAATATATTATTAATTTCATTCTTTTACTGCTAACATCTTTAAATTATTATTATTATTAATTTTTTTTTGTTTAATTAAAATTATGCATTACTTATTTCTTGTATGCTAATCGTAGGCCGGACTAACCGTTTCTTTTCAATCATTATATAATTTAATTACCGGTCAATATAAGTAGTCATGCATTTCACAATTTTATTTAGTTATTTATGCTATACTTTTTTTTCTTAATTACTTTTGTGTTATAACTGTAGCCTTGATTATCTTCGCTCCGTTTTTTTTTTTTCATTTCTTACAATACACTCACACATTTGTGCCATTTTAATAGCAAATTTTTTATAATTTTATTTATTATTAGAATATTTATTTCATTATAACTATACTTTAACGGAGATCGAAAATGGTGGAAAAATAATTAATCGTCGTGATTTACATGTTAAAACTTTTATTAATACAACCCTTAGATTACCGCAGATCAGAATATAAATAATACCTCGATTAACTAAAAAATACTATTCATTAAAATAAATAAATTTTTCTGCTAGATCTATTCTATTTGGATGTAAGTTGAGTTTAAACTCATGGCACATAATCTTAATAGCTATTTTATTAAATAGAGCTAAATTTATATCGAAAAACAAAAATATCCATTACATAGTTTAATTATCTCATTGCTATAGTACAATAATGATATTATCACGACAATAATTATTTTGTGGGTCCCCATTTTGATATTTCAAGTTTTGTAGTTGTTGTTTTTTTTTTTTTTTTTTTTTTTCTCAATATTAAGGACTAACCGTAATTAAAATATTTCGCATTAAAAAAAAGAAGACTTGGCGCTTATAATTATTTCTTAAATCTCGACTTTATAATGAACATTGTTCAATATTATCAGTATGTTTACCGATTTGAATTTCATTTATATAATTAAATAATGTTTACAATCCAAGCTTTTTACAACAGTAAATATACTTGCAAAAAAGTATTGTTTATAATACTCGAGATTTATTTGAAATACTTAAACAATCAGCTTAAATTACTTCTCAATCTTAAAAGTAATAGGTATTTGGATCATACACATTATTCAACTAATCTATATATTTCTCACGTTCACGACGATTAATATTTAATAAACAATATATCAGTTATGAATATTTTCTATTAATGCTTAAATTTGCCAGATATTTATATAAATTATTTATTAAAATTTGTTTTTTTCTTCTTTTTAAATTAACTTTTCATTAATTTACAGCGATTGTACTTCGTGATCAACACGATTAAGTATTTTTTTGAGTTTATTAAATATCTTATTGCGTACTACGCGATTATGGATAAATTACTAGTTCAATTTACGTAATATTATATTATACCTAAATCAAGCAAATACACCAATTATTCTTAATTTAACGAATAAATATATACACGTTAAAACTTTGGTTCAATAAATTAAAAAATAATATATTGATAATGACTTTTAACGGAAATTGAAAAAGAGATAAATAAATAAATAAATAAATAAATAAAAAAAAAAAAAAAAAAAAAAAAAAAAAAATCAATATTTTAACGTAAAAATATTTGAGAGAGCATAGCAATTTTTGCTAGTAAAATAAAAATAATGTATGAATTACTAGATAATTGTAAAGTTGATGCTATAAAGAAGAAAAAAATAACAATATATATTTGGTAGTTACGAAGTATCAGGTAATTTTAAACTTTCAATCTTGTGTATGACGTCGTACGTTTCATTTGCTAAAATCAATCGAGCCATCTCCACTATTCTCTCAGTTAGACATATACTAAAATAACTTTTATATACATGTATGTATACATAAATTCTCCAAACTAGACCACCGGTGGTCTGTGATATCTATAATTTCTCAACTTACAATCACATACAATTTATCTATTGTAAAAATACAATAATGATGATGTACAATCGATTAATTAAAGAGGAAAAAATAAGAAGCAAAATTCTATTAAGGGTAATTGATTGAATTATTTTATAAAAATAATAAAAATGTAAATTATCGGTATAAATTGTTGTTACAATTCCTTTGTTTTTCAAAAAACTTACTAAAAATTCCCTACATATTGTGCGCAGACTGTGATTTTAACACATAAAGTTCAACTATAATCATGATGTTTATACCGAACAATTCAAAGACGTGACATTTGACACGTTCAACTTGAATCAAATGAAACGTGCGAAGTTTCCTTACAATCACTATCTATACTTGATCCAATTGAGGTGTTAATCACCAGCTGTATCAATAGTGAATTTGAGTTTTCTTTAAAAGAACACTTAATCAATTATAGTTCTCACAATGACATAATTTTTCTTTAATGTTCAATTTTTAATTCTTTAGAGAGAAAGAAATAATTGTAAGTTTTTTAACAAAATAAAAATTTGTTTCCATAAAAAAAAAAAAACATAAATAGATAAATTAAATTATTTTCAACGATATTGCAGATTAAATCTGTTCAATAAGACATATAATAAGTAAGAGTATATATATATATATAAATATATATACATACAAACATGTATATATAAATAAATATTTATATAAATAAATTTTACAATTACCAATGATGTTTGATGTAGCCTCATCTAGTTTTGAAACAATTCCAAAGCAGTTTGCGACACAACAGTTGTCTTCCAATGTTGTTTGTAAGCATAACATTTGATGAATAAAATCTTATCATTCTCATTAAGACGTGCCTAATTTGCTGGTATTAAAATCTCTATTGACGAATGAAAATCCTCTAAATTCATCTTGATTTACTGATTGTAGTACTGATTGATGAACTGGTGTAAGTACTGGCTCCTCTTTTGTAAATTCAGTATCAAAATTCATAGCATCTTTTTCATTATTCTAAAATAAAATGTAAATTATCGTGTAAATATTTAAATAATAATAATTAATTATACACAACGTTAAATAAAAGAAAAATGTTTACAATTTTTGGCGTAAAAGGAGGCTTAAGTTTGCGTGCTTCAAGTGCCCTCCAATCCATTGATTGGAAAAATGGATGTGATTTAATAGCATATTCGCCACCATTAGACACGACACATCCTAAACGTCTGGCTGGGTTTTTAGTCATAAAACCTTTTAAAATAGAAACCGCTGTTTTGCTTAGCCAAACAGGATAAAGAACATCATCATGTAATATCGATTCGAAAAGGTCATCTTCATTATCTGCTTCGAAAGGCGGCTGTCCTGCCATCATTTCGTACATTAATACTCCCAATGCCCACCAATCTACACTTGCACCATATTCTAATTCTTGAAGGATCTCTGGTGCAATATAATCTGGTGTACCACAGAAAGTTGTTGTGGTTTTACCATCGACTATACCTTCTTTACACATTCCAAAGTCTGCGAGTTTGCAATGGCCTTCACGATCCAATAGAATATTGTCCAATTTGAGATCACGATAAATTACACCGTGTTGATGAAGAAACTGCAATGCCAAAGTTACTTCAGCAGCATAAAAACGAGCTCTAGTTTCATCAAATTTACGAGCTTTTTGAATTTGAAACATAAGATCACCTAAAATATTTTAAATTTTATATATTTATTCAAATTTATTAAATATCACTAGTTTAATATCAATTCAATACCTCCGTTAACGTATTCCATTACAAAGAAAAGACGTTCTGGAGTTTGGAAACAGCTGTGAAGAGCAGTTAAAAAAGGATGTCTTGCTGCCAAAGCAAGTATTCGTTTTTCTGTCATAGTACAATCAACATCATCGTCCTGAATGATCACATCTTTCTTCAATACTTTGACGGCATATATTTCTTCAGGGTTTCCCTTTCGTTCAGCAAGCATAACTTTACCAAAACTGCCTTTTCCAAGTACTTTAATAAAATTGAAATCTTCAAGAGATACTTTTTGCATTTCACTCTCTTCATCTTGTGAAGTGTTTTCAGCTCTGGATTGATTGTGTGATTGATTCCTCGGCTCAGTATTATCCGTTGGTTGTGAATGTTTACCATTTCCTGATGGACTTTGAGATGATCCACCAGATGAGCTTGAAGGCTTGTAATTTATTCGAGACTTTGATTGCTGTTCCGGTGAAATGTTTAAAGTACTTAAAATCTCAGCCATTGCCTTTGTATCGATACCGCAGTTATTAGCCACATTCTTTTGACATCGTTTGTGTACATTTAGGTCACATACTAATTATAAAGGAATTGAATTGTTAAATAAATTTTCATTACAGTAATTAATTTTTTTTCTTAATATTCATATTTTTGATAACTTGACAATTTACCTTGACATTGAAGACCTTGCTTTATTAAACCATAAAGAAGCGAACCACAGTGATCGCAGAATGTAAAACGTTTAAATGTATGTACTTCAAAGCGATGAGGAATATTGACGCTGAACCGTTGCCCTTGTATACTTTCATTCGACTGCAACACAGTTTCCATTTCCTAAACGTCCGGATATTCCGGATAAAAACAAAGAACGGAACAAACAAAGCATATAAAATAAAAATGCAAAGCAATAAAATATTCAAAATTATTTTGTCAAGCATTTAAATTATAATTGATTGCAAAACCGCGAAAATTAAAAAAATACAATATTATATATATATATATATATATATATATATATTTTTTTTTTTTTTAAATACACACCTCGTCTCTCATACCAGGACATTTTGTAACAACTAATTTGTGACACCTTTTATGAACAACGCACGTACATACTGTAACAAAATGATTGTAAGTTTTATTTTTTGTCTATATACTTTATCGATAATTAACATCATTGTAAATAAATAATAATTAAAAAATATATATTTTAAGAAATTAAAATCAAAAGATTTGTTAAAGTAAACCATGCAAAATAAAAAATACAAGAAGCAAAGAAATTTTATAATTTGAATAGCATTAATTAATAGTCAAAATCATAAAGCCGTTGTTAAAAAAAAATAATAACAACCAAGTAATGAACTAAAGTAAAAAAAAATTTATTAATAAAAAGCATCAAGAATCGGTTCTTAAGAGACTTGTGTCTTTCTCACCTTGACACTGATAACCTTGCTTTCCGACGCCCCTGAAATTCAACAGACAAAGCACTTCACATTATCTCCATGATAACCCATAAAAAACACAAGATATTGCTTCTTTTTAAATAAAATATGTTAGAGTGTGAGCAAAAGGGTACGAAGTGATCACATACTGTTAAAAAAATTTTCTTTTCATACTAATTAAAAAAAAATTTTTAATTATCAAATTTACTGTAATAGTGATGATAATATATCCACCTGCTTTAAACTCTTGTGATAAGTATTAGCATATTGTCCGTGTATAAATTAAGGACTAATAAAAGCAATTACTTGGTTTACCGATGTACATTTGCATATAATAATTGATATTTATTATTCCCATATAAAGTTTAGAAAAGAAAAGAAATAATACATGCAATTGTTTGATAGATTTAATTAGATTCACTCTCATAAGATATTAGATATGGATTTGTTAAGTTAAATTTCTATTTATATTCCGTGTATTAAACAACAATAAATAAATTTGAAAGGTACAATAACTAACATGCTTGAATTTAAATTGAAAGCCTTTATACACCATAGTATGTAATTTAATTATATTGTGATCAATAATAAGTGTACTCCAATTAATCAATTCCATAGATATTTATATAGTTTTGTATGACCTTATAGAGGCCGTTTTATTGAGTGTTTACATACCAAATAAAATCACGACAGTGAGAACAAAATGTTGGTTGTCTCAAGAATGTTGCCATAAATTTATGCCCATTAACTTGATGTACTCTGCGACGCATAGCCCCCCTTCGTCTATTAAATCCTTGACGTTCTTTAAATCCACGTGGTTCCATATCTCCTGTGACAGCACTACTTCCAACATTTCCACTTACTGATCCAGTACCATCTGCTTCTCCACTACTACATCCTGGTTGTTGATCTAAATTAATTTATAATAATAACACCACAAAGTTAGTTTTATTTACTTAAAATAAGATATAAATAGAATATTATATACCTTGATTACTCCATTTTAGATCAATTTTTATGCGTAGTTTTCCATGAGGCTCGAGATCAACCTAAAATTATTTTGAACCTTATCAATTTTATTGCTTAACTCAATACCGCAAATAATAAAAATATTAAATACATGATTTATTTATATTAAGATTGCGATACAATACATTTCCGAGAAAATTATTTATGCTTGACATTTTTCTTTTTAATATAAAAAAAGTTTTTATTGTTTTAGTGATGAGTTTTTTATAAAATTTAATGCTCCAATTTGATAAAAAAAATAAAAAATAAAGGGTCAATTTCACATTGTTAATAATATTAATATTTGTAAAAATATTATAAAATTATTGCATATGATAACAATTAAACTAATTATAATTTTACCCTTATATCTTTATGCTATCTCTATTGACTCATCATCTTTATCAATGAACATGTGATGACTGTTATCAACATGTACCTTCAGAATTATCAATTATGTCATACTGTCAACTACACGGGTGACTTTGATAATTTAATTAAGTAATATAATAATAAAAACAGTGTTATGATAATATAAAAATAATAACAAACCCAAAAATCAGCAGTTTCATCTTCACGACGGACAAGTTCTTCAAAAGGAATTCTACAATTAGCAACAAAGTCATCAGGTGGTAAAGCAGCATCATGGAAGACAGTAAGTCCTAACATAACTGCAGCTTGGACATCATGGGTGAATGCTTCATTCCAAACTGGATCGAATGTTTTGGCCTTAATAGACGTTCGATTAAGACGATTTTGGTCGACGTCAAGAAGCACGTAAGGATCTATTATAGGAGGTGCGTCCTGCCAGAATTTTCTATGTTTATCCGTAGCTCGCAGCCCAGAAGCTTCACATATTTTAACTTTAACTGTTCCCGTAAACATTTTGTTCTAAAGATAGAGGCAATTAAAGCAATTAGCAAATTAATAAAAAAAAAAAAAAAAAAACGTAGAATACTGTCATTCGTAAAAAATGTTGAAATTTTGTCAAGTCTTACTTTTTATTATCTATTTCTTCTCACTATTAATTGTCGAGGTGAAATAACGTTATAATATATGTATATATATATATATATATATATATAAATATATTTTATATTTATGTCTAAAAATCTATATAGATATATTTGATGACGATGACAAATAACGTCTCCTCTGATGTGATGTGATATTACACTATACTTGACACTTGGCCCTGAAATAGCGGTAAGCGTGCTCTAGTTCTGTGACAATTAATTATAATGATGATTAGTACGATTAGATGAGAGGAAATAGTAATTTAAAGATGTCGTTTATCCAGAAAAAAATGGTTGTAATCAAATATAAAATCTTGAAGTACAATACAACCACCCTGTTTAGTTTTATTAGTCCACCCGTGTGTAAACGCAAGTCAACGCAACCGCCCTGGCATTATAAACGTCGTGTGTTTACTTGTAAAGGCATTTACTTGCTGCGCTGGTACATTACATATACTTAAAAGGAAACGGAAGCGCCAATACTACGCAAGGGTGGGTTATGATATTATCACCCAGGTTACTGCTATTTTTTATCACGATAACTTTTCGATCAGGACTCTTCGTAAAGATACACCGATCACTGACAGCCATTAATTCAAGTTCTCCACTCAGATGATCCACCACTGATCACTATTTTATCTATTTTATTAGTCACTCACGGACAGATCTTTTTGGGCACCTGAACTTAATGCACCTGTAACACAAAATTTTACTATCATATAGATACAAATTATGTATACATTAAACTTTATTACTGTTATATCCAATCAACAACCATCAACCATCCATTCCAGTCCACTATATACTTAATAATTAAATACATGGAGCAGCTTACACGACATTGATGTATATACGGACACCACGAACGGATACGGCCGACTAAGGCCGATTGTACTTAGTATTGAGTTCGGGTTCTCTGCTTCTTCAGCTTCGATTCTATTCGGGTGCTTCCCTCTCTCTTTCTATTTTACCCTTCGCTTTTTTTATGATACCCAAAGCAACTTAAAGTATACCAAACATCCGATAATCTTTTTGTTTTTAAATAAATAAATTAAATATCAATAGAAAAAAAATTTGAAAATTAAAATCTATGAAAAAACTTCCAAAATTTCAAATCAATATTTTTATAATATACTTATAAATTGTCCTTATAAGGTTTTTGCTGTTTTCAGTATATTTTTTTTTTCTATCATTCTAAATTTACTTTCTTTCCTACTCTTCCACTATAGTTATATTCAGTTGTTGAACAAATATTTATTTATAATATTATTAAATATTTAAACCTTAAAATTACCAATCATTTTGAAAGGTCTATTATTTATTATTATTAGACACACAGTTGTAATTATTGATTGCATTTATTTAATAACAATGAATTTGTTTATTCAACTATGTCGATACCAGTAGTGACATCTCTTATGCTCTAGTCTGTTTTACACAACATAACATTTGTATCTGTATACTCTCCATTGATAATATCAATTGACCTGTCACGATCAGCTGATGAATGTATGTACATACACAAACACACACACACACACACACACACGTTAAACTTTTTATTTTATTTTGGGTTTTACTTCAATAGTTAAATTTTAAAATGTCAAAATTTCGACTTTACTCCGTCTGGGAACTGTCATCTAATTTTTCCTCCAATCGGTATTTCTCACAATTATTGTCGTAAGTTTTTTTTTTTTGTCTTTATAAATAACTTACTATTCATTTTGAGCAAATAATAAACTTTATTTACATGTTTGCAGTATTTTTTTTTTATAGGTCTATTTATAATTTTTATTGATTCCGTTTATTTATGTACATTATTTTTTGTTCAATTTAGATCTCCATGGTGTCAAGCATCAGAGCAGCAAACAAGCAGAAATTTAGCAACTAACACTGCTACTAATATTACAGAGGATGATTTAATGATTAGTGAAAGTTGCGTAAAACGATTAAAAGATATTACTGAAGATGGTACATGCTTGAGGGTAACTGTTGAAGGTGGTGGGTGCTCAGGTTTTCAATACAAATTTGATTTGGATTCAAATATAAATGACGATGACAAGTATTTTATTCTTCTATCATTCAATATCCATTTATATAATATTGAATAAGCTTATTAATTATTAACATTGTTTTGTTTCTCAGAGTATTTCAAAAGGACGGAGCTAAAGTTGTAATTGACTCAACGTCATTAGAGTATGTTAAAGGTGCAACCATTGATTTTCATTCAGAATTAATAAGATCTGCTTTTAGAATCATAAATAATCCATTGGCAGAACAAGGCTGTAGTTGTGGTGCTAGTTTTGCTATTAAAGTTGATTGATGGTGACTAATCATCTATAATTATTTATAAATATGTACAAGTAGATAAATAAATTTTATTTCTTGGTTTTTAAACAAGAAAAAATAAACACAATCTTTCTTTACATTGCTTTATTGTTAAATTGAGTATTTCAATTTGTTTTTTATTTAAGGGGTTATTCTACTTTGGATACATGAAAAATAACGATATTTTTATTAATTTGTTTTTTAAATACCGCTATGTTTATTGATATAAAATTTGTTAGGCTCAACAAAAAACATTCATAAACTACGAAAAACAAAAAAAATTATTGATTTTAGCCCCTTTTTTAGGGTAGAAACGACAGTTAAACAGGAGTCCTTAAAAAGTAAATAGGTCCGCGCTGTTGAAAAAATCTCAGAAACTTCTGAACTGATCCCTATGAAATTTTTCCTGCATATTCTGTATACTTATAGCTATATCCCATAGCAAAATTATTAATTTTTATGCAAAAATAATAAAATGACAAAAAAAAAAAATACGTTTTTTTTTTGCGATTTTTCACAAAAAAATTATATTTACACATATAAATTTTTCAATAATTCTGCTAGGGGATATAGCGATAAATGTACAGAATATGCAGTTAAAATTTCACAAGGATTGGTTTAGAAGTTTCTGAGATTTTTTCAACAGCACGGAACTATCTACTTTTGGAGGACTCCTATTAAACTGTCGTTTTTACCCTAACAGAGGGGCTAAAATCAATATTTTTTTTTTTTTTTTTTTTTTTTTTTTTTTGAGTTTATGAATGTTTTTGTTGAGCCTAACAAGTTTTACATTACTAAATATAACAGCATTCTTAAGAAATAATTACTAAAAATAAATAAAAATAGCGTTATTTTTTATGCATCTGAAGTAGAATGACCTCTTAATAAGAATAATAATAAAAATGTATATATTAAATTAATTATAACTTTAAAAAATCATGTATTCACAAAAGTAATGCGAAGATACTATTAATAATTTTTCGTTTTTTGCTGTAGATTTCCATTTATGTACATCAATTGTTAAATATTAAAGAATTTTATTAATGGAATGTCGTTAATTCATAACATTAATTACGACTATTTTTGCTTTCCTTTTTTTCCATTCTGTAAATAAGATATACATGTAAATTAATAAATGAAAAATTATAAAGTTGTCATAAAATAGGATACTTAAATTACTTTATTGCTTAGTTCGTATTTCAGTTGCTGAATTTCTTCAGTTTGTTGAATAAGTTTTTCATTCATATTAGCAAGATGTTCTGTCATTGTACTTAGTTGAGTAGAATAACTTCCTTCTTGAACTTCTTTATCTTCTTGGGAACTAGACCAATTTGATAGAGCTTCTAGTAAAGCTGTTTCACATTTTTTACGTTTTTCTTCACTTGTATCTAAATGAACACTCATTACTTGGTTCTGTAATTATAATTAATTTAGTTTAATTATGACTACTATTTATAATAATCTTATAACATAATTTTATAAATATGTAAATATGTTAAAATATTTACAGTGGCAGATATGGCAAGATTTTTAGCATGATAAATTTGTTTTTCTGTTATTAGCTTATCAATTTCACGTAGGTAAAAATCTTTTATTTTAGCTTCACGAGCTTCAACTTCATCTGGCAAAGCAAATGGAGCTTTCAAGCTCCCAATCTGTAAAAAACAAATATATTTTATATTCATTGTTAACTAATTAATAATAATAAATTTAAGAAAAATACCATGTTGCTGATTTCAACTGGCTCTAAAGTATTTGTATCAGACTGCTGTGTAACAAAACTATTTTTCTGGTGTAATTCGTCATACTTATGTTTCAAAATATGATAATCAATTTTATATTGGCTTAATTCTTTTTCTAATTCATAAATTTTAGAGTATTCAAATTCATTGTTAGATTCATCTTGATATTCAGGTGTTTTTTGAAATCTTATATCACTAGCTGATTTTGATGATCGACGAGAAACAGATGGTGACGAAAAAGGTGAATGATCTGTTTGACGATGATTTACTAAATTCGTTTTTAATTCAGAATCGTAACCCCATTTCCCTTCTATACTTGACCACGACACAGTTTCATCGTGCTTTTGACGATCGTTTAATTTTTTTAATATTTCATTTTTATCTCGTTCTAATTTATCAATTTTTTCTTGATATTTACTATCTAATTCAATTCTAGATTTTTCAGATAAATCAAGCTTGTATTCAAGATGTTTTATCCGATCACTAAGTTCATCAATTTCATTTTCTTTATCAGAAATAACTGATTGAAGTTGAGCATTTTCTACTATTTTTTTTTGAAATTCTTCAACATAAACATGATTAGGTGGTGGTGGTGCTGGCTGATCTTTATTTTCCGAAGATGATTTACTTTTACCTTTTTTCAATTTATTTTGCATTTTATCGAGTTCATCTTGTAAAACGGTCACTCTTTTTGTCAGTTGCTGATTACGAAAAATTAAACTATCTAATTCCTGTTCTGCACGTCTCAACGAAACATCTTTCTCTTTTAACTGATCTTTAAGCTCGCTACTGCGTGCCTGCTCATCAATCACAGCCTTTTTAAGAACACTAGCCTGAGCACGTATCTACAATGATAAAAAATAAATTAATAAAAAAACAATTTATCAATAGATAAAATTACAAAAACAATTACCTTTGAATATTCTGAGACTACTTTTTGATACTTAGTCTGCAGTTGTCCATTATTAACTCCGTCCATTTCATTAATTTTTATAATTATTTAACTTTTTAAAAAGATATAAATTAATTATTGCACAAGTTCCCAATTTTAAATGTAACACTTTTTGATAATAGATAAATAAATCATGGTGATAATTCATTAAATAAAAAGCAATTTTACTAAATAATAATTCGTCAATTTAACAAATTAGCAAGTAGAACAAAGTAGTGAAATTAAGATAGGAAATCAAGAATTACATACTCTTATCGCAGGAGGACCCCAATATATCTAGATTAAAAACGCCCTCCATTAGTAATTATTTATAATTAATAAAAAATTCATTTTAGACACCGGTCTGCTTATGACAAGCATTGAAGTTAATTATATTACATATATCAACAGATAATTTAATAATAATAATTTTAGTAAATTATCATTATATATAAACAGTTAATTTAATATATTATAAATTTTATATATAATGTACAGTAATTATAAAATTTAATTCAACTTTATTTAAAAGTTTAAAAAATAATTTAGTTTGTGATAATTATAATGTCAATATAAGACAATAATAACAATTTACTAAAGAATACTTATAAATATTTTGTAAAAAAAATCATATTTTATTTTATTTTTATAATATAAAATACAACAATTGAGTTGACTTGTACCCAGACTACAGTTCCGACAATTCCTACAGACTACTCACATACATATTGATGATTTAGCGTAGTAGCGCTCAGAAACAGTGTAATAAAAGCGGGGAATTACTTACAAGACAATGATGAAAACGTCATACTGATAATATTGTTAGTAAGGAAGTCAATGACATTTTCAAGCTTAAGTAAGTGTGCACCGAGAGAGAGAGAAGCTGATGAAAAGTATTGATTTTCTAATATCATAGATGGCAGTAGTGGTATGAAGTAACATTTCGAGGTCTACAAATATATGGTTTTTTTCCGATCTGTATAATAAAATAAAATGTAAAACGTGGTTGTACTTATGAGCCATATAAAGACTATACATATATATCATATCATTCCTTTAGATCTACAAGTTTGCCATGACAATCTGTGGATCCTACTTAAATTTATTATTGTTATAAACATGAATTTGTATAGTAAAAATTTAATATGTATTTATAATCATAAATTAATATCCATGATTCGGTGTGTAAATAATGACCTTTAATTTGGTATCGAGGTGTTGCAACATTATTATTTATAATGACAATGATATTGATGTTAAAAAATGACTAATATCTAAAATGACGTGGTAAAAAAAATAGATTCAGTTACAAACTTGGAAGACATAGTGAAAGGTTTGTATTTATTTATTTAAGATAATAATAATTATAATAATAAATTTTTTTTTTTTTAATTAAATAAATGAAATAACCCAATCGATTCGTTTGCCGGGACTCTAGTCATTGATTCTGGTGTAAGTCAATTAACAAAAATTCGGAAACATGACCTTGATCAGATTTGTTATTTAATTATATTCTTTATACAAAATTTAAATAATTATGTATTTATTGTGATAAAGTTGAAAATCATTTTAAGAATATTAATGTGATAAGAATTTATTAAATTTATTTTATCAGCGTCCATTGAGTTCGACCTCAATATTTCATGTGTCGGTTGTTCATTACACGATCGAAAATTTATCTTGATTAAATTATACAGTTATAAAAATTGTGATAATATACTAAAGGAAAAATAATTAATTTTATTTCAATCGTTACTACTTGTTATTAATTTTTTTTTTATTACGGATTAACTTATGGATTTTCTTAATAGTAGACATTGATTATTAAAATAAGAAATATCGTAACGTAAATTTATTTATACAAATAGAATGGCAGAAGGTAAGAATACAGATGAAGCTTGGAGAAAATCTAAGACAGGTGACAGAAATGATCTTTTCAATCCAGATGCTACTACAAGTTCTGAAGATTCCAACTCTACATCTTTAGCAGATATTTTCGATACTGCTTTCACGTCAACAGTGGATCCTACTCCTCAAAGATGCCCTGCTGGTAAAAAACATGTTTAATATTATTTAATTAAAAATATTGATTATCATTAATATTGTTTTATCAATAAATTGGAGTGACTTTGACTTTTTTCAAGGAATTAAAAATAGACTTTTTTGATAATTTTATATGCATTTCATATAACTTTTTGTCTGCTGTTTTTAGTGTGATAAATTTAATTAAGTTTATACGATTTTTAACTATCTATTAATTTCGTGTATAAAGAAAGTATTTTTAATATCTTAATGCTATTTTTAAAGACGTAGAATGTTACACTGACAGGTCAAAGTTATCTCGATTGGGAGAATTATTTTTAATCAATGTTAATTTATATTAAGGAATGAAGTTACAGTTACAGAAATGGAGTATGAGCATTTATTTGCTGAAAGTGATATCGAAGAAGCTGATTCACAAAATCGCGTAGACTCATTTGTAAATCAACCTCAACATTCAACGTCGTCTAATAATCTCGTGTTTGCATCATATAGATCATCGTCAACTCCAATAACTGATTCACGATATTGGCGTGGGGTTCGTGTAAATAATTGTAATATGTGTAGAACAAGATCACGAAGAGATCCAGTAACACAGCCGCTAGATAATATGTGTGATGAGAGACTCTGTGCTCATTATCGTCGTAAGAGAATATTATATGATAGAGAATTACCAACGAAGCATAAAACCAAGAAAAATGAACCTCATAAAGTAGATAACAATCAACAAGTCAGTAACTTGAGTATCGCTGGACCGTCAAGGCTTATTGATACTCCAGTTGACTACAGGTATTTTTACAACTATTATTATTATTATTATTATTATTATTATTATTTTTTTTTTTTTTAATTCTACATGAGTATTTTTTACATTTTGAATAAAATAAAAAAATCCGATTTTAATGTTTAATGCTATAGAAATTATTTATAATTTTATTTTCATTGAAAGGATCTAGTAGTCAAACAAAATTTAGCAATCTTAACATCGCTACTGCTATATAATTTATATTTTCAGCATAATCACGGTGCTTCGAAAAAGATAACACTACAATAGACTTTAAACCGATATCTCTTAAATATTCCTAGCATAACCGGGTCAGCCAACCACATCATTGATACAATAGACGACAACTCCAACAAAGTGACAAGACAAGTAACCAATGAAAGGTCTTCGTCCCAGTCTAGTGCTGCTTCTACTCAGATTTTACCAAGCGTTTCTCATCAAACAACTAGTAAAGGTAATGTTATTATCCGGCTATCAGTTTTATTGATTATGTCATCAAATCAATATTGTTTAATTAAATTTTAATAATTTTTTAGATCATGATGATATTCCTTCAGCGCCAGATTTGCAATTAGATTGGTCTTCAAGTAGTGAAAGCGATGACGAAGATGGATCAATTCAAGTTCTTGAGACTGTTAATTACAGCAATAAACAAGTATGTAAATTAATAATATATAGATATATATTTTATTAAATGACTATTACAAAAATTAGTGCTTACAAGTATTTTTTAATTCAAGCATAGCTATTAATATATTTACATTTTTTTGAGCATTTATTATTGTTCTCATAATTACCTAAATTATCATGAGTAATAAATTTTTTTTAAAGAACACAAATCAAGACAATGAACAAAGTGATCGAACAGTGACTGTTGTGGATTTAACTGCTGAATCTGATGATGAAAATCATAGTCATTCAACTGCAACGAATTCCACGTCACCACAAGCTCAAGAGATTACATCTCTCAGGTATTATTATATTTGTATATATGATACAGTATTTATAACGAATAATATAAATTTATGGTGTTTTAGGAATAATTACTGTGTTCACCGGCCACCCGAGCACCCTCGTATAATTCCTGGCGGCGTTCCTTATCACCGATATCCATATCAAGGTATTTACATATAGAACTACTTAAAATTTTTATAAAAAATTTTGTTTATATTATGTCATTTTTATAGATCAGTATTATATTTTGCTGTAAAATTAATAAGATAAATGTAGATAAGCAGCTAATTTTTTTTTTTTTTGTTTACCAGGGACAAGAATGCATCCAATGTATCAACGCATGTGGTATATTCAGCAACGTGTACAAGAAACTCAACGGCGTCGACTTTATCAACGATCATCAGTACACACGTGAGACTTTATATCAATATTTAATTCTTTATTAATTACTAGTTAATAAATTTATATATTATATATTTTTACTCTAGTTGCACTCCACCAAATGCTCACATGTATCAACCAGGTCGATTTGTAACAGACGAAAATTCTAGCCCAAGTAGTCTTCCTCAAATGTGCTGTGCAGCAAATGATAGTGGAAATCACGCAGATAATTATCCTCAGCATCCTGTTCTACCACCTCCACAACAACCTACAGTATACAGTCACCCAGAAGCCAGTGGACCTGAGTCTTTAGTAACAAATAGTAACTATGATTTCATATAATATTTTACGAATTGATATTTTACATAAAATTTATGACCCTCTTGTGGGTCTATAATAAGGCTCCAATAATTAATATTTAAGCCCGTGTAGGATAAATTTATAATTTTATATATCTTGTTTTATCAGGGACGAGAATCTTTCCATCTTCAGGACTGGTCAGTTAAACTATTTATTAACAATTTTAAAACTGTCAGTTATTCAAATTTTAACTATTTTTATTATTTTATAGGTGAATGCAATGCGTAATGCTGAAATGGAAGCTTCTCCACCTGATCCTATGCACCCAATGCCTGTTCATCAACATGTGCATCATCATATGTACCACTGGCCCCCGCCGATAGGAAGACCTCATCTTGCTCGTATGCCACACGTGCATATTATATCACCACATATGGTAGGATAATATTTAGTTAACAATTGATTAATTGTCCAATAAATTAATATTGTTTTATTTATTGTTAAAATTTTATTTGTTTTCAGCAAAATAATGTACCACCTGATATGATACCTACGTATCCGGTACCTCTGCCGGACTTTGTTTTTCAAACAAGGCATATGAATACAGGCTTTGAAAATTACATGCGTATTGTTGATTTGCGACGAATGTCTCACATAAGTTGTGGTGCCACACAAGAGTCTATTGAAAACCACACGTTTCCCCACAAATACAAACGTGTAAGTATTATTTAATTGTCATGTTAAATTTAATTATATAAATTATCACCAGATATTTTTTAATGAATAAAATTTTTTTCCGTGTTTTATAAATATCAGGTTAAAAAGGTGGAAAATGGAGAAGATGCTATTGAAAAATGTACAATATGTTTATCGGAATTTGAGGATTTTGAAAGTGTCCGAAGACTTCCGTGTATGCATTTATTCCACATAGACTGCGTGGATCAATGGCTATGTACTAACAAACGATGTCCAATTTGTCGGGTCGATATTGAAACCTACTTTCAGAAAGAACTTACAGCAACCGTATAGCTTAAGGTCGGTAATGTTTTCTCATAATTATCGTATATTAATTAATATCCTATTTATTTATTGTATACCAACATATTATTAACGGCCTTACACTCAATGGGTTTATCAAACTTTATTCAATACATGACAGAACAGTTTTATATAGAGAACAAAGTAAATTGTATTGAATCAAAATTTATAACGTAGTATTTATATTCAATTTATAATAATAATAATAATAAAATTATTTAACTCATTGGCGTATTCAGAAATTATAATTTGTAAATATTATATGTAAATACTTTTATAGCTGAAATTCAATATAAATAACTGATCAATGCAGTAATATTCGACAAAAACTAATGCTTCACTATTTAGTATTAATAATAATTTTACTATAAAGTCTATAATTAAGACTGCAATTGGATTTATTTATTTTAAATTGAGAAATTAAATTTACAATGTATTCCTATTAGATAATAATAGTAGACGTCTAAAAAGTATAAAATGAAAAAATTCACGTATAACTAGAATTATTGAATCATATCCTATTGAAATAACCTTACCAATTCATAAGTCCCACTAAAAAGTTTTTGCACATCATTTTCTTGATTTCACCGATGGTGCTATAATGAATATCTATAGCAATGTTGCTATAAAAATGATAAAAAGTACGTAATATTGTTTCAAGATAAGTACATAGTAGTAATCGCAAAAGTAAAACTAACAGTAATACTAATCGTAATTATAATGTTAATCATGCAAATAATTGTAAAAACCGTACTATAAAGGAATATTTTTTTTTTGTGAAAAAACTTGTCATTAATACTATTTATTAGTCTTTATATCAATAACTAGAAGATAGTGTGTTAAATTATGTAAATCTTATTTTATGGGTAATTTTGTGATTGAATATATTTTAATTGTTTTATCTCAATGCAATTATTGTTATTTTTATTAAAAATTAGATATTTTAAAAATTTTCAAATAAAAAATAAAATGTAGCTAAAATCAAATTGATAATAAATTTTTTCTTAATCAAGGAACTTGAAAACAAAAAAACCATCTTACGTTCATTACTTGTGACTAAATAAAAATTGTTAATTATATTAGATATCGTGGTAACAATTTCGGCTTCATAATTAGTTTTATAGATAATTTTTTGTAAAAGATTATAAGAACGATTATTCGGTAAATTTTTTTATTAATTTATTTGATCATTAGACATTTTTCAATCTTTCGAAAAAATAATAAAAAAACTATGGGCAAATGAATCATTTATTATAGTAATTCAATTAACTGCCAAATAAATTTTTGTGATATTGAAATTTTAATTTTTCTGAAAATTTATTGTAATGATTAGCCTAAAATGTTAATTATTGGTTAATCTTATAATAAATTAAATAAAAAAAACTAGTTATTGATTTTTCTCAATACATGAATTTGTAAAATATTTTGAAGCATTACAATAACTAGTATAAAACAAAAAAAAATAATAATCAACAATGAATTGAGGTGCTGCATTTCTTACGGACTATGTAGATACTAGATTTGTACATTCAGTACGACTAAAGGTTGAATCATCTGTAATGTAGGCAAAATAATGAAATAATTACTATTATTGAATAATTTTATAACTATTAATAATTTATAAGTCTTTCTATATTGTAAATATTATAATAAATAATGTATCAATATTAGTTGTATTGATTTACTATTAGAGTGTACGAGCCGCGTAAAAGTTATTAAAAAAAATTTACGTATTAAAAATCAATAAAAACATAAAAATAAATGTACAGTCGTTTTATTTATTATTAATTTATTTTATAATCATAACTTCTGTCTCTTTAAAAATAGCTATAATTTAATTTATTTAATAATAATTATCATTAATTTGTTATTTGAATCATCCGGTTTTGTATTTATATTATTTTTAATCTCACGTTATAATCATAGCTGAAAATGCATTTATGACATTTTGTGTCCTCGCGTGAAGTTGCAATCACGATTCACTTAAGTTAATGGAATTACCCGAGTTGTCATTTTTATTACAAATCACTCAGTTCCAGGATTAGTATCGTTACATCAAAAATTCAACAGTCCGTTATAATTTATTACATCAAGAGTGAAGTAATTAATTTAATTTTAATAATTAAAAAAGGATTAATGAATCATTATAATAAATAAGTCTATTATTAAATTATAGTTATAACAGGATTATTTATTAAATCTAATTGAAATATTTTCGCACTATGTGTAGTTGTGATTCACTCATACCGACCTTGAGTGTTGATATGATTATTATAAAAAAGGTTTTTTTAGTGGACCACGAAATATAAGTGTAAGTGTAATTAGTCGATCAAGTATCGATTAATGATCCGATTCCCAGTACGGCGTGGAAACGCTTCTGGATATAAAGAGAATGTAGTCGGTATGATCATCGACAGTCTTCTTTCGTCGTAGTGATCTCGAGGCTGTGTCGCGCAGTTGACTAGTTTATTTTACTTAAATTTTCGAATTCGCACCCAGATTTATCAATAAATAAAAAGGTATTATCTACAATTTATTAAATTTTTTTGTTCTTCTCATTACCATATTCAATAATGTACAAACATTATTTTATCTAGTAAATCATTTCCTTCTAATTCAAGAAACTTCTTTTAAATAGATTATATCGTACGATACAAAAGAAACATTTGTTTTATTTTAAAAGTGAATTATGTCTTGTAGATTGAATAGACAAGACTTTAAATTAATTTTATTTTAAATAATATATTTTCCAAATTTCATGTAATAAGTATTAATAATTGATAGATTAATTATATGTGTTTATAGGAATCACTAAGCTATCATAAAAAAAAAAAAAAAAAAAAATAAAATTGCTGCAGTGATAGAATTGTTTATACACGTGGTAATGATTTATGATTATTTAATATTCAATTCAGCGAACGTCTCGATTTTATTGATATAAACCTTGCGATATGAAAATCGAAAACTAAAAATTTAAAAAAAAAAAAACAAGTTTTTAATCAGATAGAATTACAAAAACCTAATTTGAAATAAATATCCTTGCTTTGAAAATTAAATAAATAAAATAATTTTGAATTATTTCCTTTTCAAATACCAAAGTGTGTGCTTTATCAACAAAATCTAGTACGATTCTAAAACAAATCGAATGATTTGAAGAGTTCTTGCAGATATCGAAGTTTATTTAGATTTTAAATCGGATAAAAACTTGAGATCAATCGGTCATGTAGTTTTCAAGAAGTTTAAAGTTCAATTGTACTAATAAATTTAATTTAGCTTTTGGTAGAAATAACTTTTACATATCTGATCTAAAGAACTTGAATATATGTAAATTCAGTGTTGATAAATATTTTAGATTTCTGCAAGAATCAATCGGGTTAACTTGTTTTAGAAGTGGCAACTGATGAATATTTGTTTTTGTCAATCCTCTTAACGTTAACAATTTTTACTGCAATCAAAAATTTATTGATATTCCATTCTTGCTAAACTTTTGAATGAATCAAGTCGATCATTTTAATTGAGACAGAGGGATCAAAATTTTTGAAAACTTTGAAATTTTTTAATTTGTAATTTCTATTATGAGAAAAATTTTTTTTTTTACTTTTTAGAAATCCTGAAATATAAAAAAAAAAATCAAATAGCTCATTGACATCCAAAAATTCTATAAGATTGGTCCACATAATTAGTCCGTTATCATATCGAACACCATGAAAATGAAAGCGTTGAATAGAACCTTAATTAATTTAATAGTTTTAATAACGGGTGTTGACAGTCAAAAAAATAATTATTAATTTTTCATAAAATAAGACCATAAATACTAGTATATTCATTGTGTGTATAATGAAAAAAAAAATTATTCAATTGATTCAATTGTATTAAAAATATCAAGGATAATTCATAACATTTTCTGATTTTTAAAAATGTATCAGTATAAAAAAAAAACACTCAAGCAAGATTGAACCTTTTTTTTTTATTTTTATTTTTTTGTCCATTTTTTTCCTTAGTGTTATTATTTCCTTATTATGTAAAAAAAAATTGAAATAAATCGAAGGGATTCCCAAATGATGTTTACGAATGACAGAATTTCAAACGCTCCGTTATAATTTGTAATCGGAAGTTGAGGCAGTTGAGCGTGGACATTATTATTGTTGGAGAATAAGAAATATTAAAAAATGTATAAATTAAAATTTGTTCATTACATCAGTCAACATTCAGTGGTTACATGGCCTTCACATACAATTATTTTTCTCTTGAGGATATGAGGCATCAAATTAACACCTGAAACTTATGTCCTTCAAAATTCCCAGGAACTTTGAACCATAAAATTTATTCCTTTAAGATTCTTATTTAATGTTTGATCGATTTTTTTATATGTAGAAAATGGACGTGCACCCCAGATGGCTTTTTCATTTGATCCTAACTCTGTTAATCATCAAATCAACCCAATCGCAGGGTAAGTACGCTGCAAAATTATTTCTTAGAATTATACATCATCATCAAATGTAGATCTAACGAGGTCAAGGATTTTTTACACGCAAAAGGCACGGGCTCAATACTCAATGATAGTATGACGTATAAATGACTTTAGACATATCAAGTGAATTAAAGCCTGAATGATGAAATTTAATTCATACTCAACTTGTTTACCTTTTTTATTAGCATCATCATCATCATCATCACAGAATTTCGTAGTTGAAGCATTTTTTCATGCGCAATTTATAAATTGTTAAAGACGTCATCGTCAATTATGTTACTAAATAAATATGAGTATTGTAAATCTTCGCTTATTTTTACAATATAGTTTAAATTTTTTATTTAAGAATTAATTACTTAAAAATTTTTATGTACGGTTAAGAGATGTGATGTATAAATATAATCTATATAATAGTTAAAAGTAAATAAAAATATCGGATAAAAATTTATTAATTAATAAAAATAAAAATACCGCTTTTTTCTTTAATTAATGATTTGTACGTCTATAAAAATGACATTAATACAATTTTTTATGACAAAATTTTTGGATGTTCTAGAAAATCCACTTATTAATTATAATATCAAACGATGAAGCATTGTTATAAAAAAATATAGAATCATTAACACCCATAAATTTAATTATCACGCTATTGTTTTACTGTTATTTTATTTTTTTTATTGGTGCTTACGTTATTGAACTTTTTATTTTTTTATATTTTAATTAGAACTATATCAAAACTTTTTTATGTTACTTAGATTTTACCCATTTTAATATTTCCTATGGAAAGTCCATTCAGTAATTATGAATTAAAATTCAATTAATTTTTATTTATAAATATTAATGGTCAAATCGGACAAATTAATTTTTCTGTTGCAAGATTTACTACTTATGTTGTCATTTTAATAACATTTTTTAAGGAAAAAAAAAATCTTCCAAATATAAAAGTATATATATGTGTCTATTGAAAAATGTTATTGTAAATTTTCATTTTTAATTTCCCGCTTTAAAAATTAATATAATTTTAACAAGTAGGAAGCTATTGGTTTTGGTTCGATATTGAGAATGCGAATTTTCATTAAATCTCAGAATTTTGAGGTTCTAGGAAGACATTCCGACTATTTCCGGCTGGATGTTCGGCCGCGCGCGCGTGTGTGTGAATGTATGTAAATAAAATTTTGTCGTACGATATCTTTAGAACAAAACACCGATCGAGATGAGCGATATGGTCTTCGAAAGTGTTCATTGAGGCTTCAATCTATTTAGATTTTGAAGGAAATCAGTCGAACTGATTTGAAGATATTCAAATAATAAAAATAAAAAAAAATAATTTTTTTAAGTTTTTTTTTAAACTTTTAAAATATTTGACTAATCAACCCCATACATCAGAGACACTTTTTTTTACTTCAAGAATTGGGTCAAATGTCTTCAAGAAATTAAAAAAAATCGAACGACACGTTTAAAAGTTATAGCCAATAAAAATTTTTAAATTATCGTTTTTTTTTTTTTTTTTTATATAACTTAAAATTTCATATCAAAGAGCTCAAAGATTAATCAATAGTAACATTTTTTAGTTTTTCAAGCACATAATATGCGGTAAGTTTCAGGAGCGGCCTACAAATCAATTATTGCTTTTCTGATTTTTCTTACCATGATTTACCCGAGAAAAAATATTTATATATACCATATATCATCATGTATGATTATATATAATTATATATGATTATATATGACCTCATATACAGTTCCATTTATAATCATGTATGATTATATATAACTATATATGATTATATATAATCTTGCTTGGCTGTATGTTGCTCTATATATAGTCATATATAATTATATATGATTATACATTATGACCTCATATACAATTCCATATATCATCATGTATGATTATATATAATTATGTATGATTATATATAATCTTGCTTGGCTGTATGTTGCTCTATATATAGTCATATATAATTATATATGATTATACATTATGACCTCATATACAATTCCATATATAATTATGTATGATTATATATAATCTTGCTTGGCTGTATGTTGCTCTATATATAGTCATATATAATTATATATGATTATACATTATGACCTCATATACAATTCCATATATAATTATGTATGATTATATATAATCTTGCTTGGCTGTATGTTGCTCTATATATAGTCATATATAATTATATATGATTATACATTATGACCTCATATACAATTCCATATATAATTATGTATGATTATATATAATCTTGCTTGGCTGTATGTTGCTCTATATATAGTCATATATAATTATATATGATTATACATTATGACCTCATATACAATTCCATATATAATTATGTATGATTATATATAATCTTGCTTGGCTGTATGTTGCTCTATATATAGTCATATATAATTATATATGATTATATATAACCTCATATACAATTCCATATATAATCATGAATGATTATATATAATTTTATATACTTATATATATTTGTATATGGAACTATATATAATCCTGCATGGTTGTATATCGCTCCATATATAGTCATATATAATTATATATGATTATATATAACCTCATACACAATTCCATATATAATCATGTATGATTATATATAATTATATATGATTATATATAATTCTATATAATTATATATGTGATTCTATATATAATCATATATGATTATATACAATTATATATGATTATATAGAAACATTTTTTCTCGGGTACATACTTCATTGAAGAAGCTTTTTTAGTATTTACTGTTATTTTTTTCTAATGGTTGAGATCTTATCCATTGTTAATAGAGTAAAGTAGAATAGAGTAAAATAGAATAAAGTAAATAAAAATTCCAAGTAAAAATTGATCAATTAAAAAAAAAAGAGGAACAAAAATCGGTATCATTACTTATTAATGATTTGTAAGCTTGTAAAAAAAGTCATTAATACAATCCTTAATGACTTGAAACTTTTTTTTTTGTTTTGGCAATTCCATATTTCTATCGATAAATATAAAATTGATAACAAATATAAATTCATTTTTTTTTAATCATTTTATTGATTTCTTATCTTCTATTTTAATCCAAATTATATTAAAAATTTTTAACTTCCCGCTAAGAAAATTAAAAACTTTAAAAAGTCGGGAAGTTATTGGTTTTATCCCGTTTTTTGAAAATCGAGTTTCTAACGGATGTTGACGTTTTGAGGTGCTAGGAAGCTTCCCCGAATATTTGCGCGTATGTATGTATGTATGTGTGTGTATGTGTGTGTCATTTCGATAACAATTTTCATTAAAAAAAAAAATTTATAAATAAATCGTATATACGTATTCACAAATGAATATGATTAATAAGAAATAATATTTTTCGATCATGTACGTGTAATTATGAAAATATAATTACGTAACTTTGATTGATCCATAATTATGATTTATCGTTTACTGTGAGTAGTAATATAAATATACTTGAGATGAAGAATGATTCATAACAAATGAATGATTATTTTAGGAACAGATTGTACAAATCCAATCAATCTATCAGGAAAATGTATGAATATTAGAAGTTGTACACCGCTTCTCGATTTGCTCCGGGTTTATGGTAGTTCAGTGGGTACTTTTTTACGGAATTCCATGTGTGGATTTGATGGTCGAGACCCAAAAGTATGCTGCCCGACAAGTGAAAGTAATGTTGATGAGAACGGTAATGAATTCCCAACAACACCGTCACCAGAGTCCCCACTACGGAACACATCCTATGGCCCATTATTTGCTCCTCAATGTGGCAAATCTAATGGCCCAATTCCAAAAATCGTTGGAGGAGTTCCCGCAATACTTGGTAATCAATCTTTTGTTTTTATTTTTTTTATTTTAAAACCGCAATTTTATTTTAAAATCATTATCATTTGGTCCCCATTATGGACAATTAAACGCTCACCGACCATGTCGGAGGTCATTACTGAGACCTTCACGCACGTAGAAAAGAGTATATACGTCATAAATATTTATTTCTGAAAAAAAAAAAAAAAAATAAAATAAAATAAAATAAAAACAATTCAACAATACGCAATAAATATTTCATGCTAAGAAAAATCAAAACTTAAATTTTTACATACCAACCGCGATTGCATATATTTGTCTATTTTTTCTAAAGTTTTAGACTGACGTGATGCTTTCAAATGTAAATATTGTGTTAATTATAGTAGTAACTATGTTAATTTAGAAATTTGATTTATTATACCAATTAAATTTGTATAGGAACCTGGCCTTGGATAGCTATATTGGGCTACCGATCATCTAAGCATCCGAATCGGCCATCATGGCTTTGTGGCGGAACTTTGATATCCTCCCGTCATGTTTTGACGGCTGCTCATTGCGTTTATCTACGTCAAGACCTGTATATTGTTCGTCTTGGTGAACTTAATCTCGACGATACCGTTGATGATGGAGCCAATCCAGTTGATATTTCGATAGATAAAGCTACTGTTCATCCTGATTACAATAATAATCAATATACCGATGATATTGCCATGATAAGACTAGCACAGGATGTTCAATTTACTCGTAAGTATCATTGACCTTACTGTTTTTAATACAACTTATAATTATAAAAATTAAAGAATAATTTATTTAATTACAGCTAATTTGCAACCGATATGTTTGCCATTTGTGACGGAACTTATTGGCAGAAATTTTGTAAATTCTATACCTTTCATTGCTGGTTGGGGCTCAATTTATTACCGAGGACCATCTGCCGTAGCATTACAGCAACTTCAATTGCCTGTAGTTGAACCAGAGGAATGTGTTAATGCCTTCAAACGATTTAATACTGCGGTTATTGATAATCGTGTTATTTGCGCTGGTTTTGCTAAAGGCGGCAAAGATGCATGTCAGGTAAATTTTGCCGAAATTAATTTTATTGTTTAAATATTTATTTTATTATTCAACACAATTTTTTCAAAATTTTTAGGGAGACAGTGGTGGTCCTTTGATGTATCCACTTGGAAAAGCATTTTACATTATCGGTGTTGTGTCCTACGGTTTTCGATGTGCTGAGCGCGGTATTCCTGGCGTGTATACCAAAGTCGGAGAGTATACCGATTTTATAACATCTAATCTAGATTAAATGTTATTTGTTCAGCTTAGGTCTTAGATAGAAAATTCTTGAATGCTTAAATTTATATTGAGACTAAATTTTTATGAATTACTAAAAGTAATCATAAAAATAATAAATAGAAATATAAATAAAAATAGTGTACATAAATTGTAATATTCAAAAGTAATTTATTCTATTTTTAACACAATTTTCCATAAAAAATTTCATCTTTTAAATATTTATCGCTCATGGAACTGTAACTATTTGAATAATAGATCATTGATGACTGAACTATTCGTGGTATGATATGCAAATTAACCACATTACTTATGGTCTTTTTGCGGTTGTACTTATTAAATATATAAATATAAATTAAGTTTTCCGTACTCAGTAGTTATGAATCATGTTTACTAGCTTTGTCCAAAGAAAAAATTAAGCATAAAATATGCTCAGACTCGGGAGTGGAATTTTAATTTTTTTGACATTTACATATGATACTCATATCAGCAAATGTTAAACATTTTTTTTATTTTTTTATTTTTTTCATTAATTAAATTAGGGCTAAAAAATATTTTTGAATAATTGCACTAAAAGTTTTTTAAATATTTTACATGTAGAATTTTTCTTATAATTTTTTCAATAAAAAAAAATCCTAAAAATTGTCAGGTGTCTGCTAGTTTCAGTGCCAGCATTTCTATAACTGTTATTACTGTTTAAAATGGAATTTTTTTCTTTATAATATCTTTGGATTGTAAGATTAAATAATAAATATCACAAGTTAATTATTAAAATCACGATTTTACTGTTTGAAATAGTATTTATTATCGATTGATTATTATTTGCTGTAGTTTATTTTTTGCCGTTTACCTTAAAAAACGCTCATATTTTTTTATTTTATCACAGCTCATGATGAAGTATTCATATAAGTAAGGTAACCGCACAATGTTGTACTTAGTCATCCACAGAAAATTTAAACGTGGAATAAATATTGCCAATAAAATATCTATGCAAAAAAATGTTCATAATGAAATTATTTCACTTTACATACGAATATTTTTTTATTGAGATGTTTCGTTTGATTCATAAATATATAAGGATGTGAAACAGCTCTTTAATGCTTTGAATATAATTTTAAAATATTTCAACTGAAACATTTTATAAAATATGTTATCTAATTGATAGAACTATCAAAACTTTTCAAATTTTTTTTTTCAAATATTCATGTGTTTTAAAAATGATATTGAAATTACCAGACTCTCGACAATTTTTTAATTGTTTTTAATAACAAACTAGATTTGGATCTAGTTTGTTATTAAATTAATGATACTCATATGATACATATGAGTATCATATCGCGTTACAAATGCCATAAGGGCGTACCAAAAAATTTTTTCGAGAATCGACGTAGTTATGCCTAAAACGGGAAGTGATGCAAAAAAAAATTTTTGGTACGCCCTTGGCACCCAGGGTACCTACCGGG